AAGCGACTAGGAGTATTTCTACTCCCCCCTGGATGGGATGCTAGTCCATCGCAGGGTTACCCCCCAGCATTAAGGTCGCTGGTAGCCGTTTATACACCTGGGTAGAGAGAGGCACTGTGAGAGTAATAAAGGTGTCTTGCCCAAGAACACATCACAATGTCCCCGGCCAAGGCTCGAACTACTTCGGTCACTGTACACAATTAAATACTTTGGCTACTTTGGTCACTGTACACAATTAAATATTGTTTCTTCTAGTTAATTTCTATCTGTAGTTATTTTTCCTATATCATTGTAAACCATCTTACATTAAGTTGTTTTTCTGTAAATAGTGTGTAATAATAAAAACTGAAACTGAACTGAACCCGGACCGCTTGATCCGGAGTCGAGCGGACTAACCATGAGGCCACCGCGCCTGCCGACTCTCACCAAGGACAAAGAATATTTTCTTTACCTCGTGTGGTCCATCGTTTCTTTTTTTAAGGCCAACAAACTAAAGAACATACTTGGATTGATTTCTAGTACTCCAAATAACTTTCGTGTTAATTTTCTGCTCTACAAATTCTAATATTATTCAGTGCTGCGGGGCGCAATATTGCATTGGCTTTTGGTCCACCGAGGGCAAAATAAGTTGACTTGGAACGGGTTTTCAACGAAGTTTAGCGGTTGACTCATAAACTGAACTAAACAGTCCAAGCCGGCTTTACTTCTTTGGGCCAAAATCTTACCAACTTGTAGGAAGCCACCACCATTTTCGAAGCTGACCCCAGAAGAAGGACTGTCTCGGTAACAATCTTCGGTCTTGAAGGAATTAGTTGGGGGACCAATGTCAAGAGTGTTGACTGTCACATTCCTGATGCATCCTGGTAAACTTACTCGAGAACCAGACTAGAAACAACAACATTATCATTATAACTAACCTACTGTAGAACACAAGACTGCCACAACACAATTTACTAATTACCTTCTGAAGTAATGTTCTACTCTGCTAACAGTTCAGATAAGTAAGTAACCAACACCTTTTAACACGTAATATTGCTATTGTTGCGATAAGCAAAATTACCTTCAAATCGAAAGAAATGTTTACATTACAAAGATAAAAAACATATGCAAAAAGAAAATAATGAGAGATGGTAAATTGTCAGCTCAATGAATGAATGATACAGATGATGGCCTGTTCATTTGTTGCGAGCGTGGGTCGGGCCCAGGACTTCTCAGAACACTGTTGGGCCCTCTAACAAATGAGCTGCTGGGTTCTTATGTGACACGTGTCCTGAACATTGCTAGGATCAGCGATGTCGAAAGTGTCGTGTGTGATAAATAATAAAAAAAAGGTTTTATTTCATGTCGGTGAATAAATCGTAAATACGAAATGTTATCTGACAGGATTGAAACGGATATGTCTCCATCAACACAGACTCGGGCCCACTTTCTGCTCTTACTAATGGTTGAACGCTTTTCAAAGAAGCAAAAGGAACTGGGTGTCACTAACCGGGACACGTTTAGCATCAAATTTTTCAGGTGTTCCGCCCAAGAAGAGCTCTTTTAGTGCATTTATGACTGTAGGGCTACCAGGAGCTTGTCCTGTGGCGACCTTTTCATCATCTACATAAAGCGTACCGTCGACTTCCTTGCGCATAAACCGTACCTAGTGAACAGAACATTTTGCAGGGTTACTGACAAAAACCAAGTTAAACGCTAAGTTATATCTCAAGGTGGTAAGTTTAAGACTCCATCCAAAAATATCTCTTTTATTTCTATGATATTGTTTTAAGACTTGTTCACTTGAATTTGGCAGGTGTTTAAGGAATTAAAAATAAATATGAATACCGAATATACTGTTGAGGTCTTATCTAAATAACGAACAATGTGTGCTACGACTGTATCGCAAGTACAATAGAAGTATTGAGCTTACACTGTGCCACTTTCCATCACTGTAGGAATCTTGAGGCGATGTGAGACTCAGGATTCCACCACCAGCTGTAAAGCTACATGACACTCTGCCTTCCTCCAAATGACACTCTATAAAGTCAGACGTCCCCGTGTATAACAAGATGCCATTCGGATTTGATGCACGGAATTCAAAACGTAATCTAGTCCTGCAAAAGAAAGGAAAATTAACTGACTGCTTTAGAAATACTTGAAAAGTAATGGCCTTACATCACATTCTCATTTCGGTACCACACGATGGAGAAAAAGCAGAACGTAGATTCTGACAAAACTTGCAAAAGCGAAAATACACAGACGTTTCTGCATAGGATAACAGGTTCCTCCAATAAGATTCCTGAAAATAGTCACAAATGCAGCTTGGCTTTGGGAAAAAGTGCCGGAAGAACGTAACCTATTGATAGGTATAGTAACGAGGTAAACAACTTCTCACTTTTGTTATCGTGACACACAATAAGATTAAAAGTTCAACAGAAGCAGATTTACACTTACTTTTTGCTAATTAACTTGGACAGCACGCTAGCTTGAGTAATAGTATACATCACGTGACTGTTGAGGTCATAACCAAATCCTATTGCTCCAGCTTGCTGTGCTGGTTTCTCAGGCATTGCACAAACTGGAGGCTGTGTGGTGGTGGGAGGGGTTGTTGTTGGGGAGAGGGTAGTGGTGACTTTCTCAGTTGTACTGGGCTTGGTAGTAATCTCAGGAATACTGCTTGGTTGTTCGCTGGTTGTAACAGATTTCGGTGTGGATTGGAGATCTGATAGTGGAGGCAGAGAATAATTATGCATTGAAGATAGAATCAACCAAGCTACACTACATTATTCCGTCCGCAAACGTGTAAAACGCAAGCGGCGATTGGTTGGGATTTTTTGACGTCAATTCTATAGCCTTAGTCTCTTAAAGTGCCGACCATGGACAAACGTACTCGATCTTTTTATGATAACACCGAAATTCACCTGCGATTTAGAGGGACAATCGTATCTTATAAATCTTGACTTTAACATTGAACCCTCCAGGGAAAAGTGATCTGTACATCGTGGTTAATTGTACAGCACTACATGCTTCTTACAAATTCCTGCTAAGTTCAATAAAAAGGAAAGATTTTTACTCACCTCCAGGTTTTGGTACTGTGGGCGCCTCTATGATAAGGTTTTTAGGTGTCTGTTCTGAATAATCATCGTTATCGAATATCACCTTATTTCTTGCCTTGTAATTCATAAAGTTGTACAGTCTAGTGCCAGATCTGTCGATCAAGAGAGTCATAGTTAGCCTTAGCTATCCCTAGTCTCCTGTAACAAAAACTTTGATTACAATGGAACGTTAAGTCATGTAAGTGACTACTGACTGGGTCAAAAGAACATGGTAATATCATAATATCCTTTCCCGTGATGACATGTATTCACCGATAACGCTGGAGTATCAAGTTACACTTCAACGTGGGTCAGACGAGCTCCCGTTTGGGAAAGGAACTTGCTTGCGCTTTCCCCGTCCCTATGGAAAGCCTAAATTCACTTAATATATACTGCAGCAAGATATGTTTCCAAGTTAAGGAATAACCTAGGCCAGCTTGAACATTAAACTTAACAGAAAATGAAAATTTTCAACAACAACAAAAAAATGAATAAATAAATAAGTTAATAAATAAATATATAGAGAATTAAATAAACAAATAAACGTACTTGTCTTCGAACGTCAAGTCTCTGATGGATCCGTCTTTCAGAGAGGCGAGGAAAACAGTGTCAAAGTCTCTATTCCTAACAGTGTCTATGAAGCCAGCAGGAATACCTCCAAGGTACATATCCTGTGTCGTCTGAATATATCGAGGCATCTTGTCTTGAAATTTACCAGACACTCTTACGTCATCAACGTCAAGATCAAACCTAACAAAATAGATATCACACACTCTGTCCGCGTGAGTCAGAAAACAGTGGAGGAGCAAAACAACTTGAGATACCCGTCCGCCTGGGTGAAGCTTAGAAACTAAAATAATATGTCAAAACTAAAATTAAAAGAAGAACATAGTAATCAATACGGAAAGGAAAGAGAGTTTTGGCCGGGTTGCATTGCGCGCTGTACAACATTGGAAAACGATAGAAGCCTCGCTAACATACACAACAAAACAATAACAGACGCGCGAAAAACATCATGGTCAATAATATATGGATGTGGATGCTCATCACTTAGGCACAAACCAGTTCTTAATTGTTTAATACAGTCGAACTTCTATATAACAGCCCTGTATTTAGCGGCCACCCTCTAGCGGCCAGTTTTCAAAGTCCCGATTTTTCGCTCGTGCAAACACTGTATTTGTTACCGGTATTAGGCGGCCACCTCTATTAAGCGGCCGCGGCCACCCTGTAGCAGTCCTATGATTGTCTTTTTTTGTTATTTTTACCTGTATTAAGCAGCCACCCTGAACGTAACAACTATGAAATTCGGAACTTAGCAACTTTGTTGTGAACTGTGAGGCATAGAAATACAGTACTGTACACCATAGAAGAGTAGAGAACAATCCATTGCACAGTACTTTTACACAATGTTACGTATGTTATACCGTTACAAGTTACAAGTTAGTACTGAACTTTGTTTGAAGTATTGATCGCTTGAAAGAGTGTTGATTGTCCTATTATTTCCTTGCATGAAGTGTTCTTTTTAGTGATCCAGTATTGAGTGGCCACCTGTATTAAGCGACCAGTTCCTCAAGTCCCGAGGGTGGCCGGTATAGGTCGCTATATACAGGTTCGACTACATAATAAAAAAACCGTAGAAAGAGACACTTGATTAAAGCTAACATAAAATCATTGCATTCCTTCGTTAGCATGTCTAAGATATTTTCACCAAACGCAACGAAATTACTTAATCAGTTTTGATTACAGACACTCACGATGTACCATCCAAATGAATGGACACAAAGTGCCACTCGCCGTCATTGAATCGATTGTCAGTCTTTAATGTCAAAGGAGTGCTTCCCGCATTGGCTAAAAGTGTCACTTTCCCATCTATCAGGCCCAGAGCGATAAAATCTTTCTGAAATTAGGAAAAAATATCAGCGAACAATGGATTATCAATCAATAGTAATAATATAGTGGAACCTCCACTGACCGACGCCACCTCTCTACACACCTTTCACCTCTCTACTCTTTGCTCCGGTGCACGGTCCATATATTCACTCTTATTTAACCTCTCTACGACGGCCACCATAGCGCTTCCTAACGACCAAAAAAACCTCTCGACAATGGCCAATTAAAGAACGACTAAAGAACGGTGTATATAAAACCCCATATTTATTGTAAAAGGTCACGAAACTTGATCCGTACCAAGCGTCGTTGGTCTCTGTTTCTGTCTTTTGATATATTTTGATTGCGTTACGTATTTATAAGTAGCAATAAGCATTCGTTCAAAATAAAAATGTTGCAGCCCACGCCTCAAACAAAAAACATGGAATGTTACATTACACCCCTGCCTCCCCATAACTGCCACCTCTCTACTATGCCCACTTTGTATCTGTCCCAAGGTGGCCGTTGTGGTGAGGTTCGACTGCATTGGCTTGAAAACTCTTTTAGGTATGTAATATTTGAAGAGTACGCAATCTATATAAACCGTTAAGAGCTAATCTCACTTAATCACACTCAATCAAAAACTTCGAAGCTAACTTCTGCTTTCCTCTGTTGTCTTTGAACATCATGCTTAAAAAACACTCGGTCTCAACTCAAGCTTACAGCCTTGTTTACTTTGTGGGAAGGCAAAGTTCACAGGTGACACATGTATGTCCAATCAGACACGAAATCCAATCGATTTTTTTACCGTCAGTGAAAGTTCACCCAGTCAACGAATTTACTTATGTGCTGTCAGATACTTCTCCCATTTGAAAATTATGCAGTTGGCCATGAAAGATTGCTTAGTTGAAAACCTGCGTTTTCCAGTCATCATTTGAAGACAAAAATACTACACTACGGTCAAGCAGTCAGCCCCTGATCCTTTGATGTCACTCGCTTGGCTTTCCAGGGCAACATTGCCAAATGTTGAATTCAGCAGAAGTAAAGTTATTTCTGATCAGGTACAGTGCTTCAAATCATTATTCAAGCCGACCCCACCGAGCGTTAGCTATCAAACAGATTAAAAGACTAGGAATACTTACCCCTTCACTGTGAGCCTCAAGAAAAATGAGCCCATTTTTCGTCTCAGGAACAACTCTGAACGACAATCCAATAGTAAAACTTTTCTTCGGGCTGTCCAGGAAAGGGTCTATAGAAAGGTAACTGCCATCCTCTAGGAATGTGACATTGTGCGCTGCCTGTAAATCAAATGGAATGTAGAATGAGATGGAGAAGGTGTGGTGGCTTAATGTTTAGTGCACTTGACTCCGGATTGAGCGATCCAGGTTCAAGCCCTGGCCAGAAACATTGTGTTTTGTTCTTGGGCAAAACATCTTACTCTCACAGCGCCTCTCTCCACCCAGGTGTACAAATGGGTACTGGTACAAAATTAATACTGGGGTCTGGGAGGAGCCCTGCTATGGAGTAGCATACTAGCTTGATCCACAGGGTGATTGCGTCTCTTAAAAAAGCAACCATGGCCATGAAGAGTGACTCAGAGACTACTCACCTTAACTTGACATCCCACAATGAAGCCTGGAGATGCCAGTAACTTGATACCACCAGGGAATAAATTCAAACTTGTAAGACACCCTTTGAAAAACATTTTAGTTCTGCACGATAGAAAAAAATCATTACCTGTTACAGCATGAGAATAAGGCCTGGAGCATGAACAGAAGGACAGTTAAGTGGGGAGCAAGTGACNATCAACCACCCCTCTAAAGACGGAGACAAGGTCGTATTTTTCAGCGCAGGAAATAGAAACATCCTTTTTAAACACAACATCTTGTGCAAAGTTGCATTTTACGGTCAAGCAAGTAAGCCGTTCGCCCCTCAAGAGGCAACAGAAGGTCATGCCACGGACTCACCAATCGCCTACCGTAGAGGGTCATTTAGAAAGATGACTTTACGTTTCTTAGTGCCCACCCAGGTAAAACTTGCCATTGTATGCTGTTTTTTTTTTAGTAGCGCTCGTTAGCTGTACCCGCGAGACGTTACACCTCCCCTCTTCTCCAAGCTTTGTTAGAGCGAGTGGTGTGACATTCTTTAAATTCTTCTTTCAGACAATCCCAGACAAAAGGGTTGGGACACGATGCAAGTTCTCACCTCCCCCCACTTTCAATGTTGATTATCAGGTGATTTTTCCCTTTTTTGTTGGAGAAAACGCGATATTTTCCAACACTGATTAGGGGGGAAGGGGGATACGTGATACAGCTCAAGTGTCCCAACTACTTTTGGCCGGGATTGTAGATAAACTTTCTATTGTCCTAACCTATAATCCGCGCATTATGCGGATACTATATTATGAATTAATTACTTACACTTGCGCAGGAATTGTGGTTCTGTTTTCGATGCCTCCCCAGTAGACATAATCAGCAGTCACAAATTTTGGAACTTTTCTGTCATAGAAAGGCATTTCATTTGCAAGCACCTCTTCGACTCCCTTGGAAGAAATCTTGAAAGTAAAGCTATAACCGCGAAGATCGGTAGCTTTCTTTACTATAGTGACCTCGTGTCCGGTGTCGTAGACCTTTTTAGAAGCCACTCTTTTGTATCCATGACCCATATTGTAAGAGAAAACTACATGTCCATTAGATAATTCCATGGCTTGAAATCGTGAAGTGTCTTCATCATCAATAACAATGACTAAGATTCCATTTGACGAGGTCGTTGTAAATTTGAAGTCTATCTCTCCCATGGGATCAATTCCATAAGGACCTGATTTGACGAATCCTGTACCAAAAAATGTTCTACTTGGGTCTCTATCGTCCGCTGCAAACTCTGTATTTCCGCTTCGCGAGTAACAGAATTCATCTTTCGCAGGTTTCGTAAGAGGCTGAGTAAAAAGAGGGATTAACAAAAAAATGAAGATAAGATATTTGATGAAAACATACATGAACTATGTGATTATATGAAATAAGTTTCACATAATCAACATTCGTGCTCTGTCCTTTTTAGATTGTCCTTTCTAGGGACTAGTCAGACCATTCCATCGCTGTCAATCTATAATCTTTGGTACAAATTTGTATAGGCTTTACTAAATAGGAAAATGAGGTTTCTGTGATATCAAAATTCGTCATTAAGGCAACATCAATAGAACTCAGTCGAGCTCTGTTAGGATAACAACTTCTCAAACTCATCAATAATTCACCAGGTTAAAACAAAGAAAATCACAACCGTGAAGGAGGTAGGATAGGATCCTTAATTTTGTATCAGATACTCGAGACAGTATTCCATCGACTATCCTAACACCCCGAATTTCGTCAGAAATACTCCGCTGCACGTCGTGCACTGCTCTAGTCACTTCTTTCGGTGTTACAACAGAACAAAGCATGGTCTGGATCGTACCCAACTGCATCAACACGGTGGTTTGCTTTAGACTTCTTCTTTCGTTAACAAGACGCATGTCTGCGTGAACTAGGGCTTTTTTTGAACAACACGACACTTTTATGTCGTTACCGCCTCATTCCTTAAGAACTAGCAAAGTTGTGACCTGGATGCGCGAGTTCAATCTGTAAAAATTTGGAATGACAGAGTTTCTTTGTTTTGTTTTGTTCTTTTTTTTTTCAACCCATTGACGCCTGCATAAAATTGCACACGTACCACCCCTAACTCCCTGGCGTTTTTTCTCAGAGCAAACGTAAGCAAAAAAATACCCCACATGCGCAGTATTCAACACACCGCTCATTTAAAGTTGAATAAATGATGGGCCAAAATATTAAAAAAAATCAACGAAAAAGGCTTAACTTGACGTGTAAAATTGATAACAAAATAAGAAGTTATAGTCTTATTTTTTCTCCGCTTCGCGACAATAATCGAGAAAATTGAATACGCAAAAATGAGTTAATTATTGACTTCGGAGGACAAAACGAAACCGAATATCACAGAATTTCCATTCTTTTACTATAACGGATAACATTTCAGAAAACACCGGAAAATGTAAGCGAAAAGCACATGTAAAAACCAATTAAAAGACATGAAATAAGTATGGGTTATTGACCAAGCTTGTTCGGTCAAGATGGCTGGATATCGGCCAAGTTCTTTTTTTGCGTGTTTATGGACCGAGACGGAGTCGAGGTCCATAAACTCGCAAAAAAAGAACGAGGCCAATATCCAGCCATCTTGACCGAACAAGCTTGGTCAATAAAGGATTTATTATATGGCTTTCGAAGAAATTTTTCTTGCGGGACACGGCGGGTAGTCCCGAGCGGGCAAGATAGCTCCATCCTGCCCGCTCGGGTAGCAAATCACAGCGCAGGATTTGATTCATCTTGCCCGCTCACGGAGGTAGCCATGTAATAAGACTATTTCTTCCCCGCGGGACGAAATATTACTTCGCAGTGAAAGAAAGACGGAAGTTGTATGTCAACAAGCCAATTATTTTGAGATAAATCCTATGTCAACACAGGCGGCACGATTAATACGTGCCATTTTGCTGTTGGCGATTGCGTTACAAATTTAGCCGTTTATAAGACAATGTATGAGAATGCTTAAAAAAATGCTCTAAGATACGTGTAGAAAGGGCCGCCTGTGATGTCAACGGTGTCAAATTAGTACCCACTTAGTTCTTTTATCAGGAATTCTGTAGTAGCTGAATAAATCCCCAAAATATATATTTTGAACGAAGCGAATAAACTAAACAAACAAACTGGGGACGTCGCCCTAAATTAAATATGCAGAAATCCAAGGTGTAAAAATACTGTTTGCTTTTAAAACCTCAAATTCCCAAATATAGGCAACCAAATGTAAGAAACGTGACGGGAAGTTGAATAACAATACATTTTGATTCGCGACAAAGCAAAAAAAAACTTATCTAAAAGCAAAAAAATGGTCAAAATTTCGCACACAAGCTTCTCCAATCTCGTTCCCAGAGCCCATGTGTCTTTTGGTCAGCGCCAAGGCACGAGCTATGGAATAATCAGTTTCCAGACTCAATTTCACGGCGCATGCCTACCTTGGTTTAAAACATGGCAATCTCGTTCCCAGTGCCCACGTGTCTTTTGGTTGGCGCTGTCTTGGCGCTGACCAAAAGACACGTGGGTCTGGGAACGAGATTGGAGCTTCTCAGCATGACAGCGTGTTCAAATTAATTCCTCACGCTAGTTTATTATGCCGACGACTTTTGCAGACATCTTATCGGCCGTGGGTTTACCAATCGTTCTAAAAGTGGAATTCAACTTCGAAGTAATACTGTACATTACCATTTTTGTTTTCTTAAGTCCAGGAAGCTGCTTTGAATCCACGTATTCAAAACTTAAGCATACTTGAAAACGCTCCGATCGTTGTGTTTTCGCGGCAGTTAAAGGTTTGAGCATTCTGTACACCTTGATCTTCCATTCTGGGGCTACCTAAACATTTACTTGTGTTTTTCCTTTCCTTTTTTCAAGTCCCGAAGAGGTAATTAAATGAAGATCAGAAAGTCCTTTTCGTCTCCAGACGCCGCGCTCCTTTTGGTCAGCAGCATAACGTCGCCCGTGCGTGTTAAGGACTTGACTGCGATTTGCGAATGAACGAAAAAAATTTCAACTCGGGCATTTCCTTTGGAAAGCCCGAGTAATTAATACCAACACACACCACTTGAGTTGCCCTTGTTAATTTTGTGGTAGAGCTCTGCTGTTGTGAAAAAGGTTGTGGTTGTTCATACTGGTAAAATAACCTACAAATGTTTACTGATCTCATGATGGATTTAAATCTTGAAATCTCTTTTTGCGTATGTGAAAAACTGAGTTTTTTGATGATGTAATGCTGCTCACGCCCCCCAAAAAACAGATCATGACAATTTGTAACGTTTTGTGAGCTACGACGCGCTTTGTACTCCCATAAGGCATGCTGTTTAACAAAATGACAGAGCCTGTTTTATAATGACATGGTTTCATGACCTACATCTGAATTCCACGATCCAACAAAGTGATTATTGACTTGAAGGCCATCAAAACATCCTGTGTAATTAGCTGCAACGACTTCAGATGGCAGCTCCATCTTCGAGGGAACTCCACCAACAACAAGATCACTATCCTTGTTAAGGATGATTTTGGGGTTACGTATATCCTGTGCCAAAAGTCTGTCATTTGTGATGGTCTGTTTTATTTTGTTTTGATCAAAGAACTCGACTGAAAGCTTTGCTGAATTTCCCGTCCTATAAAAAAAAATAAACAAAATAAACAGAATTAAAAATCGATAGTAACATTAATATTGTAGACAACGTTTGTGTAGTGTGACAGTATGGATAAGCCCACAACTAACAACTCACAGCTACCACATAGACTAACCACTCACAACTAACCCACAGTCTAACAACTCACAGCTGACACACAGACTAACCACTCATAGCCGACGCACAGTCTCACAACTCACAGCTGACACACAGTCTAACAACTCACAGCTGACGCACAGTCTAACAACTCACAGCTGACGCACAGACTAACCACTCACAGCTGACGCACAGTCTAACAACTCACAGCTGACGCACAGTCTAACAACTCACAGCTGACGCACAGTTTTACGACTCACAGCTGACGCACAGTGTAACAACTCACAGCTGATGCACAGTCTAACCACTCACAGCTGAGGCACAGTCTAACAACTCACAGCTGATGCACAGTCTGACAACTCACAGCTGATGCACAGTGTAACAACTCACAGCTGATGCACAGTGCAATCGCTCACAGCTGAGGCACAGTCGAACAACTCACAACTGTCACAGAGTCTAACCACTCACAGCTGACGTACAGTCTAACCACTTAAAGCTATCGCACAGAGTAACCACTCACAACTGATGCACAGTCTAACAACTCATAGTTACAAGGGCTCAATTCCTACAAACAGGCCATGTTAGATGTATCCCAGCACAACATATGAATTTCGCCTTCTACTCTCTATATATAATTTTCTGTCAAGTAATATCACTTATTTTCTTCATTGTTAATAAGAAGCTTCTTCGTTGTTCGATCAAAAAGCTTTAAAAAAAGATTCTTGAGTGACTTAATTAGCTTAATTGAAGGTGAATTCTATATAAGGGAACGTTTGCTTTGAAAAAAAAAATGATTTCGCATGCGTAACTAGTGCCAGTCCCAAACCGCGTGTTAGAATTTTAAATCCCTAAAACTTGGAAATAAAGAGAAAGAGTTCCGATTTTTCTTATGAATCAGAAATAACTTAGCCTTCTTTATAATCGTACATATAGAATTGCAGTTTACATGCAAAAGAGCAAAGATACTATAGAAAGTCTGTTAATACGGGTGTTTAGTACCTCATAACTTCTATGATCATGAGAGTTTCATAAAACCCATCCGTAGCATTAAGCATGTGGACGTTCTCAATCTATTGACACTGATTTGAATTTTCGGATTTAGATGCCTTTTAAGTTTTAGGTTTTTTTTCTATTCTGGTCACTTGACTAATCAAATATGGCTTGGATTTGAAACTTTTGCAGGACTCTTCAATGGAGCAAACCTATGCAAACAGCTTATCCTTAGGAGGTCTGGTGTTCAAAATATGACGGCTAGAAACCTTCCATAACAACAAATTCAAGACCAATCAGTAGTTAAGAAGGACCCCCCTTAAGAAGTATATTATTGCAGTAGTTCAAAAAATAACAGCATTGACAGACGAGACTTACAGGCCAGCTTCAAGCTTATACCAGCGGTCACTATCAGTCGCAATATCTTGATTAGTATCCACATCAAGATAAAATCCTGAAGTACACATCTTGAGATGAGGTCTGGCAGCTTGTAACTCCACAGCTATGAAGTCCGCTGAACTGCACTCTCGTGACTGACGTTTCAGACGGTATCTGTTTGAGTTTCCAGCATCTCCCATGAACAGTATCAGTCCATCAGGCTTTTCTGGCTTCAAATACATGAGGAAGTTGAGAGCCCTGGTCTGCCTCTGGACAGCCCGTGGGGGTAATGGTGAGCTGGTAGTTTTGCCATCAAATTTCATGACAAGGGAGGTGTGTTTGAGCAAGACATGTGCTCTGTCCATCATTCCTCTGATATCATCCAAGCGCCGAACCACCTCAGTGTCTAACTCCTCGATGATCTTCTCCTGTCGCTGTTCTTGAATTACCACTTTCTCTTTAATGACTTTAGACATATTCAAAGCATTCATCACTTTCTCTTCAGCTTCAGTGATGTTGCTATTTGTAGCAATGATAGACTCCTTGAGGCCAGAGAGACCAGTCAGCTGCTCCTAAAAACACAGAACAGTGTCCTCAAGGTGAATTTAGACAAATTGTTGTGTGTTGGTACTGTTCACGTGTGATCGGCATCACAATTTTCCTCACAACATATCACTTAACCAGAAGAAAAGTTATTGAGAATACAATAAGTCATAGCTAAAGGAAAATGTAGCTACATTTTGAACAAATTATTCCAATTAGTCCCTTACAAGGAGACCAGTCACACGTTCAAACCACTGTTTCTCAAATTTTGTTTCTGAAACAATAGGCCTACTTGATTAATGCTTTATTCTGGGACAGACATTACAAGCAACAAACTAACACACAATAACAGTGCCATGGCACACCCATCAATACCAGTGCAATGCTTGAAGTTATTTTAGACAAGCTGTTTAAAACATTTATTAACAATGCTTAACATGGTTTGTTCATACAATTGGATTGCACGACCTTTAGATTACCTAACCATAGCACTGTGCCTTAAGTTAAAGTGCAATTAAATCTCAACAACAGGGTCTGGATTTAAGAGGGTTCATGCACAGGACACTGGGATACAAAAGTACCTCCACTTCCTCANACTAGCCTCGAAATAACGGGAAGCAGGATAGGGATGGAAAGAAATAAGGAATATGCAGTTAGGAAGCCCATGGGAAATAGGACGTTCTCACATCTCCCACATGCCCCGGTAAGAAGGTTAAAAAGATGCACTTCTGTTCATACTTACAGCGAGTTGAAAACTGGTATACATATACATTTGCAGCCTTTTGCTTCACCCACAGGAGCAAAGAGGACGAGTGATACATATAAATGTAAATTCACACCATGGCTACTCTATGGCTGGGCCTGAAATATATCACAAATAACCGTACCTCATCTCTGGCATCCATGGCTAGATCCTCAGCTTCTTGTGCAATTGCTAATGCATCTTTCAAGGCTTGAGCAATGTCTGAATATCTTTGTGATGCATTAACTGCTTTGTTGGCAAACTCGATGTCTGTTAGAAGTTTCTCCAGCTCATCAGCCTGTCTACGCAATTCTTCTGAAAGATTCTGTGCCATATTCACTGATGGAATTAGCTTATCCATGGTTTGAGAAAGATTGGCCATCCTTTCAGTGACTTGATCGATGAGATCATCTAAGCGTGGAAAACTTCCATTGAAAGCCTACAGAAAAATTGTCCAATATACATGAGTATACAAGACACTGAAATCACGAGACATTAACGCGACTTTTTCTAAATTCTCTACGCTACGAACATGAAAAGAAATCTGCAGCGATCAGTAATGAGAATCAAGATTGGGATCAAAAGGACACACAAGCTATTCGTTTTACTGTGTACCTCCAACGACTCGCTGCTATTTAACAGTTTACTTTTGATTGTCTGAATCACATCCTGCAGGCTTGTTAGAGCACTGTCAACTTCTTTTTTCTTCAGAGCTGCCTCTGTTAGTGGTGTCTAAACAAAAAAAATGTAAAATAATGAACAAAAGTAAAACCTTCATCTTCAGCATAGCATTTCAGTTACAATTCACATTGTTATCTTATATACTGTTTTGTTTGTATTCCTGACATTGTTTTAACATAGAATGATGCCTCACTTGCGCAGGGCTAACAGCTTAATTCGAGCTGTAAGATGCTTGGAAACCACCAGAGCCAATGTGATAAAGCAGNGATTTCTATCGCGTGATAGCAAGAGATTTCTATCTCCACTTTTACTGAGTCAGCTATCACGCATAGAAATCAAGAGCGAATTGTTTTAGTATAAATCTTCTAGTCGCTCAAAACTTTATCTAAATCCTCTTCGCATACACTTCGAAAACACAAAGAAGCGGCTGCCAGTTCGTTAACAAGCGCACACTGCTAGGTTTAATGATACTCACTATCTGCAACAGAATAGATAGTGAGTAGCGTAGCCAATCAGCGCACGGCATTCATGATAGAACGTTAGTGGATATATAATCAAATGCGATATAGAAACCAAGTTGCATTACGCCTTAAGGCAAGTACTTAGCTATGGAATCACAGTGCATGTTATAGGTTAAAATGCTGGTAATCATTTTCTTTTCTTAACAAATAGGGCAACATTGGAAATTTTTGCTTGAGGGTTTGGATTTGGACCGATGTAATTTCCACAGCTAAAATATGAAGGACTGGATATCACGCTAGAATTTCTGCATACTTGCATTTTATTTTTAAGCACCTTATCTAGATTTCTCTTTAAAAAATGCTCAGATTGGATGAGTTGCACTTAGGGGAATTCCGGGGTTGTTAGTGCTTGAGCACAGAGTTTTTTTCATTATTGAAAGTAACCTGAATGCATAAAATTTCCTCACCATCTACAATGGATATACCAACAAACAGCGACAATTCTTCCATGGTTGAATTGTATTCATTGGTGGGTGGAATTAACCTGATTAAAAGGAATAATAATGATAATGAAATGTGACAAAGTGAAAAATACACTCAACTATGAACCTCGGCCACTTTTTACTGCTAAGAAGTTGCACCTAAAATTATCAAATGAACTGACTGCTTTAAAGAAAGACTGGAATTTAAGAAATGTAGACCTTCTTTAGACCTTCTCTTAACTTCAGAGCTTGTTTTCCCTTTAATCTGTCTCGTTTCCATTGCTTCTTAAATATGAAAAAAAGTGTACTAAACATTGCCTATGAAAACTTGGTGCAAATAAATTGTTTTACAGCACCCAGATTACACCAGCAGTTTTGCTGGGCAAGACATTGCAAATAAACATCAGCAAATCAAAAGCAGTGAACATTTATTGCATACCTTTGTAGAGTTTCATTTATATCTGAAAATCGACTTTCTGCAATGATCCCTGCAGTCCCTTGTTCTAAAGACTTGAGAGCCTGTGTAAGGTTGTGATCTAGCTCAGTGGATGTATTCAATAAGCGTCCCACACACTCGCCACAGTATTCACAACCCTCATCCGTCAGAATATAGTTTTCAGGGCAGATGGTGCAGTTTCCTCCTGGTTTACAGCACTGTCCAGTATTAATGTCACAGAAACCAAATAGATTTTCTTCGCCCTTTCCACAGTTGCAAGCTGAGATGAGAATAATTTAATATAATTTAATACAGTTTAGGAGAGGTGCAGCGGCCTTATGATTGGTGCACAGTGGACTCTAGATTGAGCAGGAGGGGTTTGAGTGCTAGAAAGGATAACTGTGTTGTGTCCTTCGGCAAAACACTTGACTCTCATAGTGCCTCCCACCACCCAGGTGTACAAATAGTTACTGGTGAATTTAATGCTTGGGATACCCTGTGATATATTAGCATCTCCACCAGCTGCAGGGGGGGGGAGGGGGGGTAGAAGTATTCCTAGTTATTTCATGTTAAGGAACCTGAATGTAAGTGCTGACATCATGGGTCGCTGGGCTCAACCAGACTTTATGTTATCTATAGTTACAAACATACACGGACCAGAAGCTATCAAAGCAATAACTGGCACCAGTTACGTTTTATATGAAATCATAACTCTGATATATGTACCTTGACAACCACCAGCTGAGTAATCAAAGTAGCCTGCTTTACATCTGTCGCATCTCCTTCCAGTTACACCCTCTGGACACTCGCACTGACCTGTTTTTCCATCACATGACGAGGACAGTGATGCAGGTGCACATTCACAATCTTCACATCCAAGACAGCTGTCAAAGTTCCAGGTATTTGGCTGCAAAAACAGCCATTAATTTAGTGGTTAGGAATCCTGAGTGGCTTCCAGAAAATTGACTCTTGTAAGCGTGTGGTCACAATACACTCTTATTTGAAGTAAACTCAATGCTAACAAAAGTAAGACAGTGTTGAAAACATGAAACTGGTCCAAAGGGGAACAACTTTGAACATCAATTTATATTCCTGTTAATAATGTTTCTGCCTTAAACAAGGCTGCTGTATTCTGGCTGCTTCATCAAGGATTAACTCTGATATTTGTGGTTTAATAAAGTTAATTCTACTTACCTTACAACTGTCACAGCTGTCTCCAATAACATTGGGCTTACACTTGCAAAGTCCAGTGGTGTGGTTACATACTGCAGTCACCGTGCCACAATCACTGCAGGCACATCTTGCACAGTTCTTGGCAACAACTGCATCACCAAAGTAGCCATTCAAACAACGGTCACATTGGTCTCCTGTTGCAGCATTGATACATTTAAGACACTGTCCTGTCTGAGTGTCACAGCTCCCATTAACACCTGGATCAATATTGCCACTACACACACAACGCTTGCAGAAGTCACCAGGTAGAGAGGGATTCCCATAGAAACCATCAGCACAGGACTCACAACTCTGTCCAGAATAACCTTCTTTACAGGTGCACAAGAGATCATTGAAAGAATTAAGGGCACATCCTGTAGCAAAGGTGTTTGACATGATTCCCAAAGGACATTCACATATACCACAGTCTAGTGGCGATCCTGTTGTGGCATCACCATAGTAACCAGGTTCACACACCTCACAGTTCAGGCCTGAAATAATTGGAGAAAAAAAAGTGTACAGTATTACAAGGTTAGTTCAAAGGGTTGATACATAAATAACAATTCCAAACACTTCTACAAAACAGGTGTAAACAAGTCAAGTCTACTTTATCTTATTTTTATCTCATTAAGCTGCATGATAAAAGAAAGATATCCAAAAAAAAAATTGCAAATGCTTCTCGTGATAAATATTAACAACCCATCAAAGCTTGGATTAAAACAGAGCTTTCATCACCAATGGAACCTTTCTGGTGAGTAAAGTATGAAAAACATGTCTACAATATCAGAATATGAGATACTTATTGCAAAAAAAATTCAGCAGAAAATAATCACTTCATTAAGGGGAAAAAGGATGTGAGATTAGCCTTACCTGTAGTGTTATGAAGACAATTGTAGCATTCTCCTGTTTCTCCATCACAGTCATCAGAGTGTCCAAAACAGTTACAAGGAATACATGTGGTATTATCAGGAGCTCTTGTATAACCCTTTCCACACAGCTATAAACCAAACACAAGGACTATGATTTCACCTGCCAAACTTTAATTGCTATTAGACCTGTAACAACTTGATTTAATAATAATAACTTTCTTTATTCAAACAAAGATAAATTTAGAAAAGGCTAAAATGCTAAAAACAAAACAAAACAAAACTAGAACTGTAAAACCTATCCTAATTGCTACTATGTCTTGAATACATATATGTGACAACTCACAATTGACTCTTTATAAACCTTGTTGTAATAAATAATCAAACATTACAACATAAGATTCCAACAGTCTTGATTTAAAAGATATTTTAGATTTCATTTGAGGCAAGGTGCTATCTGCTAAGAAATAAAGAATGATTGTGAATGGTGAATTGATCAACTTGACACGAGCATGGGACAAAGACAAAAGCTGAGTCGCCAACAGGAATCAAACCCATGGAGAGAAAGTCATTTCACTGAGTTCATATGATTGATTGACTACTGTAGTTTCTTAACATTAGCTGTGAGAATGCACATGCACAGTTCACCTTACAACCTGAAGTAGTTAACTTACCTCGCATGATACACCAGTAGCTCTTTCTGGACAGTCACATATTTCAACACTCCTTGCTCTCACTGCTCCCACAAGAGGCCCGTCAACAGCAACATCCATTGAAACGTCGTTAATTGTCACTTCTGCAACAACAGTGCTGTAAGATGCCCTCAGTTTAAGAGATTCTATGTCATGAAGAACTGACATGAAGTCATCCCTGCTGACATTTGCCCCACTGGAATCTTCCCACAGGTACTATGATCCAAAAATAAAGGACAAGACAGTATGATAAATAAATGCTCAGGTAGGACAAAGTAAATTAGCTTGTACTTGCATCACAAGCGCTAACCTCAAGAAATTGCACGTCAATGGCTGATGTTTTCCCTGGCAAGAGTTGCAGCTGTCTTTTGTTTTGCAGTACTTTACCATTTTTACCCTGCCGCAACAACAAAAAAGGACATTCACAATCAGCGCTTATAATTTCAGCAAGAACTTTATTTGAAAAAATGCAGAAATTTTAATTGTCTGTGGAATACTCTAGTCCTTTTCTGAATCATTACTTGATATCATGGACCATCACACTTTTAAAAAACACTCACCTTCAACTTGAAACTACTTTTGTCAATGATTAACACACATACTGTTATTATTATACAATGTTAGGTTGTAATCCTGATAATTTACTTTAGTGGACTCCTGGCTACTTGCTGAGGCCTATATTATACTGGAAAGTAAGCTGCATGAACACAACAAAGCAAGAAAAGCTAGTTACCTCTATCACAACATCAGGTTTAGTTGTCAACACTGGTGAACTTTCTCCTTGTGGTACTTCATAACGGATTGTATAAGACAGTTTGCCTCCGTAAGATGAAGTCTACAATGAAAATCACTTCAAGGAATAAAAACAGATCTACAATACCTCAAGAAACACTTGGTCAGCAATTTGACTTATAGCAGGAACTCGTTTGATAAATCTGAACTCTACAAGCCTTAATTATATTTCATGTAACCCAAAATAGTTTTATCCAGTGGCAATCCATTCCAAACAAGAAAGGCTCCACCTATATAATGTTAGAGTTATTGTTACTGTCTTAAAGTCCGTAAAGGTGTGGTGACAGCTAATTAAGAATGAGAAGAAGCTGACATTTATACTTACATACAAGTGGTGTACACAACACTTTCAAATGAACAGCTGTCAACTGGCTTTTACCTGAAGACATGATTGGTGGAGTTGCCAATAAAGGCAGTCAATGTATACATCATTTGTCATTTTTATTTGATGGAAACATGTCATGACTTGATGCTGCTGACGACGACAAGGACGGCGGCGACGACGACGACGACGGCTGCTGCTGCTACTACTACTAATACTACTACTACTGCAAAAATCCTCCTTCATTCCTTTCCCCATGGCAGGAATTAGGGCTGGGTGTCAAAAAACCCTCTAATATAACTGTTATTCTTTAAAGGCAATTATGCAAAAAGATTAAGATTGAAGTTCAATAAAGCATACCTTTTCTCCCAAGTATTCCTTAGGTGCTAACCAGTATATTGGCTTGCCTTTCTTCTTCCTTTGGCTGCTCACAGAGGCATAAAGATTAGTTTCCCCGATCTTGACCACAATTGCTGGACTGTTCTCTAACTGCCAGTTGTCCATTATGACCACATTGGACCTAAAATTGACAATGGAAAACAAACAATTGGATACCATCAAACCAAGATTGTGTTGGCTTATTAATATACATATTTGTTTCAATGATGCACATTAACCTGAGAAGACAAGTGGAAAACCAATTTGACTGTTTTTCATTGGCCAATTAAATAAGGCTACACTGAGATTAATCCAATAAAAAGTGCTTCCCAATGGTTAGAATTTGCTTAGACTTGATGTCTTAGTTTTATGAGCTGTAACAAAAAATATTCATATCAGCCCTGACCAATTCCAGTTTTATGTACTTTGTAAGAACATAAGGAATTTTATCATCCAATCATGTTTCTTACCAGTACTTATTACCACTGTTACAAGAGTCTGACAGACCATTACACCAACACTCAGAACAGCCATCTGGGTTGTTGGCATCTAGATTGAAGCGTCCAGCTGCACATTGATCGCAGCGTGGTCCAGTGACACCAGGCTGAAACATAATATAATCAAGACCAATCACCAAGCCATAATGATGCACATGCTACTTCTCGCAACACAACCCAAATATGAGTGCATACGACTCCATACTCTGTAAGTCTTGTATACAAATGTAGAGTACTATTGTAAATTATAAGCATTATGTAGAATATTTTTCTAATCCTTGATGATGCCGTCCATTGATTGGCAAAAGCTTGGATTTCGAAAGATTTTAACATCAATTTCACAGTAGTTTCAGGCCTCGTGAATTTGAACTTTTGTCAGTTTTGTTATTACAAATTGCCAACAAATAAGTCTTTCAATCAAAGTAACAGTGTAACAGTAACATTGCCTGCTCTTAGCCTTAGGGTTACTTTTCATTTTTCATTTATCAGGATCTTTTGTAAAGAACATTAATAATAGATTTTTCTTATTTGTATCCATGGGGTGATATACAAATACTCCAGTTTACTGTGATCTTCTTGTTGAAAGTTTATAACATAATTCATTTTATACAACATTATATTGCTCTGGTTTAACCACTTAAGCTACTTTGGAAATTAAAATCTTACCTTACAAAAGCAAGTTCCATCATTACTATCACATATCCTGCTATCAACACCTCTAGTATCACATGAATCACATTTCTGGCACAAGGGATAGTCATAATAACCTGTAGCACACTTGTTGCACTTCTTTCCAGTATGAGACAGTTTACAATTACATTGTCCTGTGTTAGGATTGCATGCTATGTCACCACCCTTCACACCAAATCTCTCACAGCCACAGTCCTGACACCCAAGGATTTGGTCATAGCAACACGTCCCTTGCAGACAAAATTCACAGTTGGGACCAACTGTGTTGGGTGGACAGTCACAAGCTCCATTAAACTCATTACAAAAAACACAGCGGCATTCTGAAGTGTCAAAGAAAAGCAATTTAAAAGTTTTAACCCATATTGATTCATGACTTTGAAGAATTACAAAACTGAAATAGTTTTGATAAATGGTTGACAGGCAACTTATTCATTGTATCCCAGTGTTTTGACATTTTTTTGTTTTCAGAGATTATCAGAGCTTCAACCTAATATAGCCTAAATGAGTATGAACAGTAACCAAACTCAAAATATTGCATGCTTATATCATGTACATTAAATTCCATTATTAAGCAGGCTTCTGTAGGAAAGCCCAATTCATAAAATGCAAGCCGTTTAGTCTTGGTTGCCAAAAGGGGTTCATGGTCCCAGGCGTTCCTAGTGTGGAGCATGAAAACTGGTGATGAGAATGCGACAGATCACTTTAACATGTGCTTGCTCTTCGTAAATGCTGTGTTTTACGAAGAAAGTTTTGGAAAGAATCGTGCCCTATACTTTCATCTCACATACAAAGATGTTGATCATTTTTGGAATGGGTTGGTCCACGGATCACATTGCTTGAAAGCCTGACAAATAAGCAAAGTTCATGCTCATTCTTGCCAGATAAACTACTGAGACAATCTCAGATAGTGCAGAGTGCAATGTATAGCTCTGGCACGGTAGTCATACAGGTCCTCACCCCTGCCCGGTTCACTCCTGGTTTGTATTTACCTTGGTACCTAGGGCTTTTCCCCTTTCAGAATATGAACAGACAGAATGTTTCCATTCTTCATTTGAACCCTGGCAAACACACTAGTTTAGTTTGATAACAGCACGTGATATTTTTTGAACTGTGCTAGGGGTAATTCTAAAAGATACAGAGTCACAATAGCGTTCTTTGCTGCCCTCTGTGAGTCATATCACATGACAAATAAAAAACACGTAGCTCTGGGGATGAAAACGGAGTGTATCCTGCTAACGATGCTAGGATGCATGTGTCTTACATGTTAGGTTCTACCACAAGGAAAAGCACTCAGCGTTTCTAGGTGATCCCATATGAAATGTATCTCTCAACTAAAATATAAATATAGTCAACATGAATGCTAACTAGTCTGTGCATGCATTTAGAGCAAATTGGTTTTGTTCTAAAGAGAATAGTACCACAAGGAGACAAAGGGGTTTTCTAAAACAAATATATAAGCTTTGAGATGTTATTCATGATGTAAGATAGGTATGACACATTTCTGCCTGGTGCACACAGCCACTGCCCCACCCCAACCACTTCCTTGTCTCAAGACTAATTAATTAATTGACATTAATGAATTAAACAAACATTAAAGTTTACACCTTATTGCCTTATTACTATAGTAGTTTAGCAGACTTCAGCCCCCCAAACCATTCCAACAGTGCACTCTGCACTAGAAATGAGCCAAGTACAAAGATGAATACCTTAGATGTTGAAAAAATCAACAATTGTCATAAACAGAACTTCAAAGATGAGGCAAGCAACATGCAATTGGATAAAGAGGATATTCAATGAAGCAACTTGAAAAGCATTAGTGTAATTCTTGTGTTAAAATATCCTGATTCTTTTATTTGTTTTTCTTGTGTTCACTAAACTTACTTATAAAGTATGATTTGATATTGCTGTACAAAGCCCGAGTATTAACGCTCTTGGAGATTCTCGTTAGTTTTTCTATTTACTAAAATTGGCAATACCTGGACCTATTGCAAAAATAGGCACAGCACCTTAACCTAACATTTCATCGCAATTTTATTATTTCAGCTAATCTTTCCTGGTTCTCTCATTTAAAATTCACATAAAAACTGCATCCAAACTTACTTCTGCAGTTAGGGAAGCCATAATACCCTGTCTTGCACCTGCTACAGGTTCTGCCAATCACATTCTGCCGACAAGAGCACTGTCCTCCAAACTGTTCACAGTTACCATCACTGTTCAAAGTTCCCTTGGGATTACAGTCACAGGCAAAACTTCCATTGTTAAAACTTGTAGTGAGTGAGAACACAGAATCTTTACAAAACTTTGGATCCGAGGACTTGATGAAGAAATAATCCTTACTGCATGAGTCAAGAAATTCTTGAGTCAAGGGTACTGGGGAATCTTCTTGCAGCTCCTCAGTAAATAAATCTTGAGGTACAAGTAAGACATAATCCTAGACAGAAAAAATAACAAATATATCAGTTGCACATACGTAAGACAGTCCAGTTTTCTTATATGTGCAAACATAATTTAGCAAGTGAACACCTCTATGGGTAACTATAGTTTCCTTTAATTAATTATTACTATTACAATACCACACAAAGAAGCTTGAAATTCTGAACGTTTGGCTGAGAAACACAACATGATAACTCAGTAACTGCAGCTGTGATCCTCAACAATTGAGTCAAGATAAAAAACAGAGTAAATGTTTTTGAAACTTACAATCCAGGTCGATGAGTTCTCAGGAATAGTGAATTCCAGTGCAACAGAATTGCGTCCAATGTTAAAGAAAGGTGATGCATTCAAGTTCCTGATGACCGATCGACAGCCTGATGCATGAGGACAGTAATGGAATTTCATGGAACCATCTAGTGCGCGGTCACTTGTAACAGACACTTGTGATTCAAACGAAGCATGGTTTGGCTGATAATAATGAACAATGGCTGCATACTGACCAGGTCGAGGGACAAGGCCCACCAGGAGATGGATTTTCTATAAATGAAGACAAATAAAGTAACAACAATTATTACACCTCTAAATTAGTTCAGAGGGCTTCTCTACAAATTGGACCAGCCAATGTCCTGACTGATCCCACAAGATCACACTTGAAGATTTTCAGGTAGTTTCAGTTGTGCAATAAACCTCTTATTCAGGACCATACTGAAAGAATATCCGCCCCCATATGTTCTCCCAGTACAGCCCTCATGCTTGGTTAATACGATATACACTGTACATACAGTATGCACACTATTGTCATTAGCTGTAAGGAACACAGATTTAATACTCCAAATTAAAAAAAATAATAGATCAGGACAGGCAGGCTGTCCACTTATTCACAAGTTCCAAGTAAAGTTTCACATTAAAATATAATTGAAAATGGAGGAGAAGAAAGTTGGCCGTCAATATACTGGATTTTGCACCTGCAGAGAACAATAACTTCACTAACTAATGTAGTATTTAGGTGAAGAGACAAGTATGATATAAATTGATTTTACACATAAATCTTGTTGTGTTAACTTTTTCTTTTTTATCTAGAAGAGCAAAGGTTCCTTAATGTTAGTTCATATAGTGATCGTCTGGGTGAGGGTAGTTCTGAAAAGAGCTGTAGTTGTTGGTGACTCAGGTTTTGACAACCTGAATGGAAGTCATCTTCAGAGTCAAAAAAATAGTACACTCATCTGAGAACGATCAAACTATATAAACAACTAATACTTCTGCATTCAAACCATTTACTATGTGGTTTTTTAATATTCTTATTTATGAAATGAAATCTTACAGGTCCCTCCAGATACTGCAATTTTACTGCTGGATCTTGTTTATTTGGTGGCTGTGGTTGATTAGGATCACGACCATCAGCTTCAATCTTAACAGCTCCTTTGGGAACAGGATATGTTGTGGGAATACACTCACTACCCTGGGTTGTACAGAGAATGCTTGGTGCAATGAAATCCAATTTCCACATATCCAGTGGAATGGCAGTGATGGAGTCCTAACATAAAATGAATTGTTGCATGTGATTAGGAACTTTCACAAGGAAGAAAGACTTTCTTCTTTGCTTAAACCACAATCAAATACATGTATGATAAACAAGAGAAGTATAGAACTACTGATTAACATTGTTGTACAGACAACAGAGCAGAGCTGTCATTAAGGGCCATAACCCATAACACCTGTTATGTTTGAGTATGCTTGATGGACGCTTGATGTTATGGGTGAAAGTAGTTGATTCAATCCACCGATAAAGGGCAGTTTGTTATGTTTGTGAAGATCAAAGCTAAAGGTGACTCAAAATTTATTGACAGCCATGCAGAATATTAGGAAAGGAGTATCCTTTGATATATTTGCTATTCATAGTTAGGTGTATTACCAAGTACTTTCATTTTCTAAGTTTGATCCCGGATTGCAATTATATGCAAGGTGACCTTATTCAAAAGATTTGAGGATTGCTTAATCAAGTTGTAAAAGAAAGAGTAGAACTTAACCTTATGTGCAATATAAACAACAAATTTTTAAACAGTTACTTACATCACATATAGCCATATATCACTTCTATTTAAAAGACATCACATGAGGAATGTGAACATAACTTATTCAAAGGCAAAAGGGTGTGGTGCTTGTAAATCTCAAACATGGCTGGTTGAAAAGACAAAAGTTGAGTGAATACTTAACATGTATAATTTACAAGTATGCATTACCACAGCAATAGGAGAAGATGAATCCCTTGCCAGCAGAGTAACTACCATTCGCCGTAACTCTGATACATCAAACACTTTCACCACACCAGTATTATCAACAGCCACCTGACGGCAGCCAAATCTGTAGTTACAGCTTTGAAGGTTGAACTCTCCTATCTGTGTCCCTTGTGGATACCTCAAGTACACATTCATTTTCGCTGTGTTATCAGAAGGATGGTAATACTGGATAACAATGACATATTTACCACTCTTGGGGATATTAAAATCTGCTGTAATACGCTTCTGTGGAAAGGAAACAAAGTGCATGTTTTAGCTTGGCAACAGGACAGGAATCTTCTATTACTGCAGATCTCCTTTCCTTGAGTTTGGACAAAAATGTTTAAGTGGATCTAGGGATATGTCCCTGCAACCAAACACATGGGTATACATATGACACACCAACAGATCATTAAACCAAACAAACAAAGTCTGTCTGCAAGAGCATTCCAATTATTTGAATGCTTTAAAATACTTTAAATAACAGAGCATTCTGTAAGGATGTTTCAAGGTCAGGTTACCCTTAAGCATTAGAGAATGTTCTCTGGTTTATGCTAGCATGAAGTGCCTTGAAAGCCTAAGTCACTGTCTAAGAGAAAGCCAGGTGCCCTTTTCACCAGACATTAGGAAATAGAACTTGTTATGTTAGTTATCAAACTCTGACCTGTCTGTCATCTAACAAAGCCATAGCACTGAAATCCAACTGTTGTAACACTGCTTCATCTTCAAACAACTGTGTTGGCTTAAGGCCACTATTCCTGATAATATATCCTGTTTCCAGTTCTGTTGTAAACAATCCAGGTTTCTTTGTGCTCAGATAGGAAAACTGGTTACATAAAGTATTGATACCATTGACTTGACAGGGTTTGGTGACTTTATCCTCAAGTTGATATGCTTCATAGTATTCTTGTGGTAAAGCAGCTACATAATCCTGTACACAATATACAAAATAGAGGTCCTTGTAAGATTTTATTGTCAAAGTTAAGTTGAAGAATGAGACTTGCAACTAACAAATGTATATTAAATAACTCCTATATGCTAACAGGTTTCGTCTTGTATTCCTGTTTGACATTCTGCTTTGAGCTGAAGTATTGTAAAGACAGGGAAGAGTTTAGTCCTTCTCCAATGTTAATCTAAAGCTATTTAGTCACTAATTGGCGTGTAGAGGACTTCAATTAAATTAGGATCTAGAAGCACTGTAAGTATGTAAAGGTTTTAAACCCTCTCCCTATGTATACCCCTGGGTGGACAGAGACATTGTGAGAACACAACACATACAATATTAGTACTTGAAACTGCACTGTTATTGTCTCACCAAGAGAACACTTGCTGGAGGTAGAACTAACATCAGATCCCACTGTCCTTTAGTCAGCATAAACTGTGTCGCCATATCCTTGTCCCCAACTGTGTGATACACATCGACATTTGTTAAGCCGCTCTGTTTCACTGGAAAGGTGACTGGACTGCTCTGTTTGCTTCCTACACCTCCTTTAGGAGTGAGCATAACCTTGCCTGTCACTGGCAAACTCTCATTTGTGATAGAATGGAATATGAGGTGGTAACGAGTCGTCTTTGGAATATCCAGGGTAACTTTTAATGCTTTCTGTGTGTAGAATTTAACCTGTTAGTCTTAAGAGCCAAAAATGACATGGTACCTATTAATAAAAGCCTTAAATGTCAGCTTATTACTAGAATTCTCAAGTCTGTTTGCAAGTCATTACATGACATAAGCAAAACAAAAAAGAAATTTGTATTTCTAATGTTTTGTGCTCCCAGTTTGAAACAATTACAGCTGTCTAAGACAATACAACGTTAAACACAAAGGCTTTGGACAAAGACAACTAAACTTAGCTCATGGATTAAGTTAAAGATCCTTGTTAATTATTATAGAATTCCCCTACCTGAAGATCTGACATTGTTGCATATCCTCTCCACGAATAACCAGGAAACACATTTTCATCAAAGCCAAATCTGACCGGAGAACCATCGCTTTCTGATGAAACATCAGGTGATAGCACATCCTGACCTGGGACAGACCCTTGTTTAGTAGGGACTGCTGTAGCATCTTCCAGCTCTGCCATAATGTGTAATAATGTGGGGTAGTAATGGCGAGGGGCAGGCCTGACAAAATAAATACATCTCAAAGTAAGGTCTAAAACTACTAATATCGCCAAACAAATAGACTGTCATATACTTACATGGCTGACAGTAATTTGTGAAGAGCATTTGCAGGGTGAAAAAGTGGTTGCTGTTTAATTTGAGTATTTTGTTTATGTCTTTCAATATGCATTTAACACTTACTGTTATAACTTGTCAAATTGCATCAATTTTCCATACCTGCTACAGTCTCTACCCACAATGTTTGCTCGACAGCTGCATAGGCCTGAAGTGCTGTCGCAGAATTGGTCATAAGCTCCCCCCACATCACAGTCACACCCTACAAGATAAAGTATGCCATCACTTCCTATCTTTCATGTGACTTGTCTGACATGTTTTAGAGAAGTAGCTGGGGCAGATCTTATATACTAAGTTCACATCATTGTAATGAGTTACCTGCCCTGACACACCCCCNCCCCCCCCCCCGCCCCATCATCACCACCCCTTCATTTGATTTAGACTGCGCCAATGTGACCTTGTTGAGTTTGGAATAGACAAAAATACATGAAATGCATGGAAATGTCCACCTCAATCTCTTTCTTCAGGTGCTATTAAGTACGCATACTGCAATAGCATCCAGGAACGGACTACAGCAGGAAATGATAGCTTAACAGTGCTTTGTACCATAAAATGACTTGAATAAGAAATTTACTGCTTTCCCTAAAGATAGATGCAAGTCCCCATACATGTATATCTGAAAAATTGTTCAAAATTGTCCAAAAGCAAGTTACATTTTGCCAGTGAGAGTAACTGTATCCGACGTACTTGCCCAGCTGAGGAGTTTGATGAAAAATGATGGTTGTATGTGTTTGTATATTATTATTAATCATGAAATAAATGATCACAATTACTGATACACTAGTAACTGAAGAAATAGCCACTAGCAATGTCTACACTACTGTTACCTGTGCAACCAAACACCTTACTGCCTTCCAGACCATAGAATCCAGCTTTACATGAGGTGCACTTTCTACCAGCAACATACAGCTTACAAGGACACTGTCCTGTAAACTTGTCACACGTGCGGAGACCACCAATCACACCATCCATGTTACACTCACAGCTGTTGCAGCCTAAAGGATTACTTCTTTGAAGAAAGAAGTAGCCATCTTTGCACTCTGTGCAGGCAAGACCTTGAACATTATCCTTACAATTACATTGGCCCTGTTATAAAATGAAAACGTTGTAACACATCAGATATAACTAAACACTCGTCTTCAACTGATAAAATCAGATACATAAATAAACCTGGTTGTCATAAGCTTAAGTGCAATTCTCAGCAAAAAAGGTTGTATCACAAAAAAAATTCTGGTTCTAAACATTGTGTAACGAGGCATTTGGTCAATCATATGTAATTTCATGTCTATATTTATCACATTTAGAACTCACTTCACCTCAAGTATGCAAATACAGGAGCACACACAATTATTAACGACCATTAAATGACTCACCTCATTTGATAAGGAACAGTCAACCAGCTGTCCATCTGGAAGTGGCTTAATCCCAGCAGGATTGCACTTACAAGCTTGACAATCAGGAAACCCATAATATCCACTACGACAACGATTACAGTTAAGACCACGGAAACTTCCTTTGCAGTTACACTGCCCTGTGTTTGGATCACAGAACTCATGAACTGAACCCCTAGGGTCACAAGAACATTTGACACATCTTGGATAGCTGTAGTAGCCCAATCTGCACCGGTCACACCGTTTACCATCATAGTTCTCTTGGCACACACACACACCATACTGGTTACACTTAGGAGAGGTTGAACCTTGCGCAGAACATCCACAACCTGAGCACAATAAATTTGTACCCTTTTAGTCTCCAATTTATACTAATATTAATCTTTCTTCTAGTTGTACACAATTGTTAGTATTAATGTTTGTTTTGAGACTTGGAGACATATCAAGATCATAAACACTAATGTTGATGATTCCCTTTACTCTCATCTCATGCCTGCTTTACAATACTTTGATATTGTACCTAACCAATCAGTCTTCCAGTGATTGACAAAAGCAGATACATGTAGTCAAGAGGTTTGTGTTGCATTGAGATTTCAGTGTATTTGTATTGACCTCAAGATAGAATCCCACTCATTACCTTCTTAAGCATATCAAAAACTAACCTGAACACACTGGAAAGCTATGATATCCATCATTACAATCATCACAGCGAGGACCTGCAAAGTTCTCCATACAAATGCACATGCCAGTATTTGGATCACAGATATCTCGTGCTGTACCCTCTGCATCACAGTTACAAACTAGATAATCAAAATAACAAAGTCAACAGTGTATCAGTGTGTAAAATGTATAATTTACTAACAATAATTCCCACATAAACAAATGCTAGCCAGTGCTCTTCACAAAACTCTCACTTCTAAATTATTCCAAGTTTATATGGACTGACACATGGTGGGAGATCACCCATTTATTTTCACACATACCCCCATAAAAATTATTGATATCATTTATAACAACTTATCATCACTAAGTTACTAAGGTTTGCACATTAAGTACCTATTCTTTTTTGCTGTTGGAATTAAAAATCTGAAACAATTATTGCTGACTTTACTGGGCCAACTATAACAACATCCAAAACAAATGCTACCGAGTTTGCATTTAGAGGTTCTTCCAAGTTTTTAGGAGAACAAACAAGATTAGAAGATTTTCATTAGAGAACTATTTGTAATACTTTACCCATTCACTGCAGCTATTTTAATTCCTTTGCTTACTGAGAACTCGGCTGACTTTGTCATAAAATATATAAGGATGTTCAATTCCAGTTAACAGGTTTACATCAAATTAAAGTTGAGGTTGCATGGGCTTAAGCTGACGGTCAAAACTACTTCCATCAGGTTGCCAATCTTTCCCTAGGAAACACCTGAACCTTGACAGTCTACAGTGTAGATAAGTAGCTTATACATTACCAGAGAGTACACTAAAACCCCATAGCAAGGGGTAACCAACTACCTTTGCATTCAGGAAAGCTATAGAATCCTTTACTGCACTGATTACACTGCCTTGCAGTGTACATTTGACGGCAGTTGCACTGCCCTGATGAAATGTTACAATCTGTTGATAGTGAGCCTACTTTGTCACAGTTGCACCCTAAAGCAATAAAGCACATGTCACTGTTAGAGTTTGCATGACTACAGCATTGTACTGTATTTTCTTGTAGCTGTTTTTTTTCACACATTGACTTACACTGCACTCCAACTTGTTTCAATAAATGCATTGTTGCTGTACGTATGTCAGTGACAAAACTTAGAGATTTTCAATAACTAATGGAAGTGATAAGTTGAGAACCAGTGGGGCTTCTGTGCTGCTGGATAACCATTCCTTAAATGCTTGCCAGAAAAGGGAAGTTACTGTGCAGTTGGCTTATTTTTAGAAAGCAAAGAAATCTAGCGCTTAGAGCAAGTTTCCAGATTGCCTTCAAAATGTTTGCACCAAAACTTGCCTCCCTTATCACTCTATTATATTTTTAATTTATTTATAATTTATAACAGCAAAAATAAAATATTTCATCACAAAGTACAATGGTCTGGGTACTAGTTTAGCACTAGGTTTTTGCAAGACAAGTAGATTATTAGCTGTCTTTCCTGTAAATTGCGGTAATTTTGCACAGGATAAGGCATCAAATAACAACTATTCATTCTTTTCATTCCTTTATTAACTCTCATCCTACTCAACAAGATTATATGCTCCCTGTGCTGTCAGCAGTCTGTATTTTGGAAACAAATTGCTGGATAACAAATCCCTAATAATTTAAAACGGAAATTTTTGTGTAGAACTACAGGACATCTTTACTCATCCATTTTATTGTACTTTCACGTTCTTTAAAGTTTAACAAAATATTGCAAGATTTTTACAAATATACAGTACAGCAACAATGCACACTCACATGTCTCACAAAATATCTGTACTCACTTCTGCAGTTTGGAAAACCATAATATCCTGGGGCACACTGATCACACTTGGCACCGGTGTAATTGGGTTTACATGGACACTGGTCACCAGTTGGTCCACACACACGCCCACTTGTACCCAAGGGATGACAGTCACAAGCTGTTGGATAATAATAATAACTTAGAATTCAGAACTCAAGGTAGCAACTACTATGAATAGAAATTTTATTACTAGAAAGAGCATACACAGTCTTAATTATAATATTGTTGTAGTCAAAGGACAAGACAGTATTACACTTACGTTTACAGTTAGGAAATCCATAAAATCCCTCATTACACTGATCACAATTAGGTCCAGCATAGCTCTTCAGACACTCACACTGTCCATTGCCATCAAAACAATTGCCAGAGGAAAATCTTCTGTCACATGAACAAGCTGCAAGTACAGGACACTATCACTATGCATGTATTTGATTTTGAATTAAACATGGGGATAGATATATTATAATTTAAGCTAAGTTAAACTCGAAACAACTGCTGGCCAGCAGTGTCCCTCCTTGATGACAGGCAAGCTGTGGGTTCTGCAGGGAGACTGGTGAATTTACAGCTCTCCCACTGAGGTTAGACCATTTCACTCTTGTTGCTGAATGGCATGCTTCTTCAAAGGCTTTGCTCCCATCCCATCCATCCCTAGGATATAAGTATGTACTTCCACTGATGTATTTCAGTGTGACAGTGCCTGGTGGTTGCCTCTCACAGGGTTGTCATGGTTACCCTGCATGCTCAGCTTGTAGGACCAGGCTCCACTAGCTTTACAGGCACAGTCCCACTCATCAATTGTTGATGAGTTTAAACTTAAATAAAGAACCAGTGTCACTGTGGACTTGATAAATCAATTATAATTAAATTCCCACATTTGGAAAGCCTGCAAATTCAATTCATTCAGAGTGCAAAGAAAACCTGTCCAGTTTTAAACCCAAATTTCTCAGTAGCAGGAATAATAAATTGAAGGCACTTCTCCCCCAAGATATCGCTTGCCTGTTGGGCAAGCAAAGGACAGAGCCCACTAACCCTGACTATCAGTGGCAAGTTTCTTTACATGCTCATATATTAAACGTTTATATTTGATGTCAAATCAAGGAAATAAATTTGACATTTAATGTGGCTAAATATCATTTAGGCAAGGTTAAACTAGAGCTAATGCAGCCAGCTAGCGTGCCCATCCAGCTAATATCATTTAGGCAAGTTAAATACGAGCTTATGCAGCCAGCGGTTTCCGCGTTTGGGAGTACGTGACCTGTGGGGTGGCCATCAGGGGTTTTGCAGGAGTTTATGGTTCATTGCATAATTGTTGTAGTGTATTCTGCTGATTGTTGCGGATCAGTTGCACTGCTTTGCTCGCGAATCATTGCGGATTCTTCTTGTTCTTGGTCAGGGTAAGTATTCTCCAGGTAAGTAGATTCCACTGAATTTCTTTCAGTGTGACGGTGCTGGTTAGCGGACGCTCATTGGGTGGTTCCTGCTTTCCAGGGTTGCCATGGATACCTCCTAGCGGCTTATGGCTTTGGCACCCCGCTAACCTTTTAAGGCATCAGTTCCCAAGCTCATCTATTTGTGATGAGTATAACTGTAATAAAAGAAATGAACAGAACACTTAAGCCTATGTACCTTGACAGGCATCACGAGATGTCTTGGGTACTCCAGCAGGACGATAGAAGCCTGATTTACATTTCTCGCAGTTGATACCATCAGTATTGTCCTTGCAATTATCACACACTCCGCCTCCCTCATAATTTCCATTTATGTCCAAACTTTTTTTCTCCTGAGCAATGCGCTCACTGTAATGGCAGTCTGTTGCATGGTTGTGGCAGTTACAGGCTACAAAAACAACACACAGAATACACATAAAACCTTCACTCAAGTCGTCAGGATTCAGGGTCCTTAGTTAACTTTTTTAATACAGGCCCCATGTAGTGACTAAACATTTTCTTTCCTTTTCTGCACAACTACTTGCTTCACAGTGAAAGCCAAAAACATAGTTTACAAAAACGTTTCTTTGTTTAAAACAAGATCCTACTTGTAAACGATTGCAGGTCAGGGACTCCCCTGTATCAAGGCATTAAATTATTTGTAGCTTACATTTTAGTTCAAAAGGTTTTTGCTACATCTCTTAAGCTTGAAGATGGAACATAATGCTACTTTCTTTCCACAAGTATCAATATTCATATTGTCAGTAATGTCTAACATCATCTTTAGTTAACATGGAGAGATCAACTTCTTCTAATCTTGAAGCCCACAATATATCAAACCTTGAACGCATCACTTGCCACTATACTCTCCTCCTAACTGCAAAAAGTTTTTTTTCCCTGGAGGTTAAAACTTCCTCAAGAAAAGGGGGCAACTTTCTTGCTGCAAAACCACAAACAAACTTTTGCAATGGAATTAAATTGCTTGTGAGCCAGTTCAAAACATTGGACAAGATGCTAAAAATTAATTGCCTACTAGTGACTAGCCTTTAAAATCTAGTTGCCAACACTCGATAATTACTGGGTTGCAATGGTGACAATTTGGGACGGAATGGTTGACTTGGATTACTCCTAATACACTGTGCAGGCTAACCTTGACAGGCAAGGCAAACAAAATTGAAATGCTAACAACAAATACACCCAACTTTTTGCCCTCCTCAATTTCAATAGCATTATTTATCAAGCATGGATCCTCAAATGGATAGTCTAATGAATTCTTGTCACAACACAATTTACTCACGTTCACATTCATTGCTACTTTCAGCTGTGGCTGGTTTCCATTCCTTCTGAACAAAGCCTGGGCAGCATACTTCACACTTGACACCACATGTCTTATGCTTGCAACTACATCTAAACTGCGATTCACCTGGCCGTTGAACACAGGCATCTGCATGACCATTACACATGCATATCCCTCCAACAGAAATATCCTTGATAGAGTAGAAATACTGAAGACAAGACAAGAATTTGAAAACGTTTTATGCACACTAGGCCTGGTTAAGCATTCAATAATTTGCTACTATATGTATCGAGGGGGAGGGGGGTACTCCCAGAAAAGTTGGGTGGGGGTGTGCAGCTCACTTCCCAAAACCCTTACCATATTTATAATCCAACTCTGCGATTTTTGCTACCCTATTTACGACCTGGCCAAAGAATTGATACCCTATTTATGGCTGTTGCAGCTGGCACAGTTGCCCTAAACAGAAGTTGTGAAGGGCTTTTGTTGACAGTCTTATTGATAATGATGAAAAAGTAGCCTCTTCTAAGATACACACCCAATTCAAGACTAGAGTGCTAAAACCATACTCAATTTAAGACGAAAATTGCCAAAATCAATACCCTATTTATGACCAAAACAGCTGAAAAACCCTACCCTTTGGGGCTGCACATACCTATATAGCCCATATAAGGGAGTACCCTCCCCCGCCGGGATATGTATACACAATGCTTCCTGCTTCTCAAATTAATACATTAACACAACATCCATTCTTTCAACTTGTCTGCTAACAGTATTTGAAGCCATTGTCAAAGGAAGAATGTTAATGAAATTTCAACAAACACTGAAAGCCCAATCAGCTTTCAGGGTGGTCAGTTTATGTGGACATGTCCTGTTTAGTAAGCTCTTGTAGCTGGTCCCATAGATTGTCCCTGTTCAGAACACCTTGAATTTGGTACACAAACTTTGCAGTAGCAGCTGTCCTGCTAAAGAGGTCACCAGAAAGTGACATAGAAACCTAACCTTAAGAGAAGCACAGCGCTGATGATAAAAGACATACCCGTCTTGTAACAGAAGGATCTTGTCTTGCCAGTGGTAATAAATCAGCTAATAATGTCTTCACTTTCAACAACCTCAGCCTAATGTGTCTTGCACGAGTCCATTCCTGTAATACAACATTGTTTTATAATAAAAACCTAAGGAAAAGAGTACTGAAAAACTCTTTTTTCATGATCACTAACCTTCCACTGCACATGTTACAGCTTACATAGTAGCTGTTTTCACTAATAAACTTATATTTCTTTCACTAATGAACAAGCAAACTTAGGATTTTAATGTTGCTTCCCACCTTCAAGAGCACAAAAAATCGTTTCTCCTTTTATTTGACAAAATTTAGGTCAGTCATTTTATCTAAAGTTTACAAAGGAAAAACATTTAAAAATTATCTCAAAAGGCAGCCGAGTTATTAATTAGAAAAAACGTATTTTCAGATAAAGTTAATAGACCAGGAAGGTGTCATAATCACTAAAATGGATGAAATTGGTATTGTTTATATCGCGCATTTGTTCTTTTGCCTTTGCCTACTTTGCCCATTTAAGTGTCTTTCTCTTCAATGCAACATCGAGATAGAAAGCATGTTGCAATGTGACACTTTTCCCGGGAAATCCTGATCCATTGTCATTGACGCTAGGAGGTCCTGTTGTTCCACTGGTTTGCAGTTTCATGAGGTGAAATAATTGCCTGGCGTGGCACGAGTTGTTTTTTAACCTTTATGAGCTAAAATCTTGCTGTTGATTTTTGGAGGAATACATCCACTTTGAGTGAATTTATAGGGTACGCAGATCTGAAAGATGTTAGTGAAATTTCACCAGAACATTCCAGGGATAATGCAAACGAAAGTGTGTCGGGAAATTTCCTGTGGTAACCATTTATGCAACACATATGTCTTGCGCATTTTTACCTACTCCAACTTTAGATGCCGATATCTAAACAACCAATCAGAATATTGAAAAAGCCTGATACACATCACGTTGATTGATGCCTTGTGAATAAGACTGTGCAGGACCCTCGGTTGTTTCACGCCTTACTGGCTCCTGACACTTCCTAAAAGAAAAATTAAGACGGATTCTGCTCAAAGTTCAAGCAATAAGTGCAAAAATTATTTCCTAAAAATCTACTCACCGCACAGTAACTTTTTGAATACTATTTCAAACATCTCATTGTAATTAATTTTTCTAGGTGACCCCAAGATTAAATTCCCAAGCATTCTTGAGAAATTTAATGTCAAACCTCGTAAGATTGCTTAATGCGTTTGTTATTGTGTTTTCAACTAACGCAAAATGTCCGTTTTAATTGAAATATGGATAACTTCAAGTTCAATTTTCTCACACTGGGTCAGATTGAGAGCTTAAGTCTTGATACGATGTTCTTACCTTTATTCAAAATATTACCATGCTATAAGGTTATTTTGGTGACTTCGTTTTTGCCATTATTACTAGAACGTTCTGCGGAAATCATCTTAAATTGTATTTTATCGTAAACTACATTTATTTAGCTTTCTTCTGATATATAGTTTGTTGGGGTTTTATTGAAACTGGCACACATATAATTTTTTTCCTGAAGGACACCCGTGAAGGTGGGAAGTAACCTTAAAGAGAAACCATGACTGTTCTTTAAGGCACAGATCTACCTTAACTCACATACTAACTGTTGCTGTAATAAAAAACTGAATTTTTATCTTTAATAAAATAATTCTTGTGATATTGGCTGCGGCTGCACTAAGAAGGTTAACTGGTTTTTTTTTTCGAAACCTGGTTAAAATTCCCAAATAACTTAACTAGGTTAGAGGTTGGTTATGATGAAACAACAGGGTTATATTTTACAAGCAGCTGCACTGAAATAGGTGACCTAAATTGACATCATGAGATAAACCAACGAAAAAATGACAGACTTCAAGGACTACGGTCTCATTTTCTTGATTCTGTTTCTTTGTTTTCATTTCCTTTCGCCACACTCTAAAGGCAGTCCATTTTCCTTCTAATATGTGCTACACAAATTTCCACGGTTTTTTTTAACATAATGCTGATTTCGCATAGATGTCAGAGTGTTCTTTATCATAACCTGCAATCGCTGTCAAATGTATCGTCCTCTAGTTTCAGTCTCTCCGAGAAATCAGTAATGGATTGAGGAAATCACCAGGAATCCTGCCCATTCTCGTCCCCAGAGGCTGTGCTCCTTTTGGTCAGCACCAAGAATTGCGACCTCCGGGAGGGTTCAACACCGGAAGTCTGTGATCCACAGACTTTCTGTCACTATGCGCATGCTCAGAATCAAGTCTGACAAATCTGATTGGCTGAGAATACGAATTGAATTCTCTGCGCATGCTCAGAAAATCGGACCCGCCCAGAGGTCGCGATTCTGGGTGCTGACTAAAAGGAGGGCAGCCTCTGGGAACGAGAATGGAAACCTGCCATGCATGACTTTTGTACAGAGTACTTCCAAATAAACATCCAGTACTTTCAAGCACTTTTGCTTTTTCGGTAACCCGGTTAAAGTGGTACTATGACAAAAATCGCATCTTTCCTATCGCAGCCATTTTAAAACATAAACAAGTAGCCTGTATGAGAAGAAAAATGCTGTTTACTATATTCAAATATCTCTTTTCGTTCCAGAGATATTGAAGTTGTTAAAATATGCAAATTAGCCCAGTGATGATGTCATACACTCAACCAAATTTTAATCAAATACGATGAAAAAAGATATCTCAGCCAATTTGAATCAGAAATGTTTGATTCTTTGCAGTAAGATTCTACTAAATATGCTCCACAATATGAGCCTAACAGTTTGGTGACCATGGCAACACACTGGGTTCCAGACCTCCCCAATATTAAAGCATTTCTGGCCACCTTTCGCATTCCATTTTGATATTTGCAAATGGTGCCTCATATGCTTGGTCCAGCAAGCATATAAAAATGTTAGTCCAGGTTTGTGGCCTTGTTTAATGTTTTGCAAGCTGAAAATCACTAACATATTGAAATCAAGTGGGTAAGGACTGGAAAAGAGTGAGTTGCCATGGGAACATAATTTTTTATAGCCGTAGGTGTATTTCCTGTAGAACTATTAGTCTACCAAGTTTCAGTGGTCTGCGCTGCAAATTGACCAAGATAGCTCTATTTGTATACTTGATGTAAAATTGGGTTGAGTGTATGACATCATCAGTCATCTCATTTGCATATTTTACACATTTTTCAAATTTAAATATGTCCGGAACTAAAGCAGATATTTGCAAATGGTAAACGGCGTTTTTATTCTTTCATGGAATTCCATGTGATACACCTAAAAAATCAAGAGGGAAAAAATTTGATCATAGTACCACTTTAACCGTAATTGATTAATGGTGAACTCTCGTAGTGTGGCCACAGCCATTACGGCAAATAGCATGTTTACCTGCAATGCTTGACTGTAAGAAAAGTTTGATGCTCCTGGTCTTCCATTAACTAAAGAAATATGGATCTGAGAGGTAAAGAAAGCTTTCAGTTTGATGTTCAAAGATTTTTCCCCCAGTTCCTAATGTCTTGCATTAATTTATGATTTTATGTCATGTCAATATCACTTCATGTTATGTCATGTCATGTCACGTATTCTAATATTTCATTTACTTTGAAGGTCATCGCAATTTAGCACCTGACAAAGGAACTAAAACCTGTACATCATACAGCAAGTTGGTGACGATCTCTGTAGTTTAAATTAATTATCAGACAACCTATTTCCAACATTACCCCATACTGGGCAATTGGCACTACACCATCCAGAGAATTATCTACTGTGATGAAATTAAAGGTTATAAACACTAACACAGGGTCTGGCTTCCTCCACTATCCCTATCCCTGAGGTTTGACCAAGAATGTTTGTCAGTGTTATCCAGTCAAAGAAATTTAACACTGGACACCCTTTTCAGTTGGGAGTCACGAATACATACTACTTGCATCAAGTTAGAATCTTTGCGATGTTGAACATTTCTAGTAACCATGTATTCATTTTTCATTGTATTGAAATTCCATTCATTATTAAGCAATAAATCAGTATATTAAGGTCAATGTTGATCTTGGGTTCAATTTCAGCAGCATGATAGTGTGTTTTGCACATGCTGAGACTACAACTTGTGGTATGCATAATATGCATTTGGAATAGATCCTTCAAAATAAAAGAGTGAAAAAATACTGGAAACTGTTAAAAAGAGAATCCACGGTGCTCACCTCGCCATTCTCGAAAGGTGGAACCTGAGAGTAACTTGTTGTGCAAGTCACTGTCGTATCATCTTTAAATGACTGGAGCAGTGCTGAGTGTCCAAAGTATGTTAAACAATCACTGTTATCTGTTGCAAAATACTGCCATGGGGTAAATGTTTTTCCACCATCAACTGACTTCTCCAAGGCCCAAGTACCAGGACGGGGAGCATTACCAGTTTTAATGATGACGTAGGCTACTTGATACTCCTGCAAATTTGTGTAAGAGATATAAACACTTGCACATAGTTATGGTTACTTTTTCCAAGAAAGTCAGTCCAATGTTGAAACTGGTCAAGAGGGTGGTCCTTTATTTGTTCTAAAAATCTAAGATCAAAATTTTGCTCTTCTGTAAGTAAGCAGACAAATTGAAACCTAATAAGGCTTTAAAGAGGAAAATTTCACCCTTAGCTAACTTCTCCTACTATTACATTTAAGTGCAAAATAGTATTTTGTTGAAACAGTCACTGCATTTATTTACAGTATTTTACTCACTACAACTTTGGGACTTTGATATCCAGCTGCTTAATAGAGGTCGCAAATTAGGGATCGATTGTTAACTGAAACCTCACATTAATTAAATTCCTAGCATTCTCTTCATAATTTCTCTGACTCTGCAGTGGCGTAATGAAAAGGTCAATTTGTCCTGATGATGATTTCATAATGTTCTGGACTTACTTTAATAAAAAGAAAAAGTTTAATAAGAAACAAAACAATTTTCGCAGTTAGAAAACCCAAAAAGAATCCGCAAAGATCAGATCAGAGGTTATTTTATTTTCAAGTTTCGTTTAACACAGCTGCGAAATGCAAGTTTAACGTAGAAAGAATTCGACGATCTTCTTTTCTTAGATCACAAAACGCTTATTTCTATCAAAGGCAAAACATCGAGGGACGGTTCAGTGAATGAGTGCCTTTTTACGCTTATAGTCTTACAACTTCACGATCCAAGTATGCAGGCACATTCCTGCGAGATTTCTCACCATAATTTGTGTGAAAAAAATTATTTCACTGAAGTTCCCTTTGTAATGTGTAACCGTTCGCGGAAAGTTAAAAATTTCTCAACATATTTGAATTTGGAAGAAATTGTGATCTATACCATCTTAGGCACACACACTTCAATTCAGCAGCTTAGATGGATTGTAAACATCGTGGGCGATGGTGAAACTTTACCTGTCCTAAATCGATGGTAATGTTCACTCGTTGATACTGAAGTCCCCGGGAAAGAGGAGGTGATTGCCACCATCTTTCGGTTCCATCAATAGCATAGTCTATCGAGTGATCCCTGGAAGGTACACTAGGGTCACAATGATCACAGGACAGACCTAGAATGCCAAGCTTTCCTGGTACCGTCGCCAGTTTGCAGAACAATTCGGACTCGCTCACGTCCTCGCCACATGTGGAAGTTGCTTCGATCTTCTTACCTTGAGCAATGTTAATAGCTGGAGGACTCAGTCTTTGCCCGTAGCCAGACTTAACAGTAAAACTGACAACTAAAAGGGCCTGCAAGATAGCGAATACTGGAGTCTTCATTGTCAAAAACACTCATCCCACGACCGTCCGTTCTCAACAATCACACAGCGAGCCAACAGAGGCTTCTTTGTGTGGAACAAAATGCAATCAGCTCAAATTACCTTGGGCGTGTGGTGTCGGTGGTGTTTGAAGAATTCCCCAATTTCCCGCAATAGACGTCCATTCCCCGCACTTTTTTTTTTCGTATCTAATGTAATGTTATTGCAATAAAAAAAATAAAAGAAAAAAACAAAAAACACAGTTCAAAAAGTTGCTGTTTCATTCTTTTTCTAGGCTTGCCAGTTCCCTTGTTTTCTTGTCTTTTCTTTCCTCTTAAATACAAAACGCAGCCCACAGGATATCCGTTGAGCATAATATCAGCTCTTTGTCATAAACGTGAAATTAATGACTGGTGTTTCTACCCTCTCCCCTTCTTCTATCGCAAAAATCCGTCTTATTTCAAAACGAAGGACTAACCCCTTAACACTGATAAATAAACAATAGCCTCCATTTGGCGCGAAAATATATAGCTCGGATATTTGTCCTTGGACAATGTCTGTTCCTCGAAGCTCACAGTTTTTCTCGAGCTACGCTAGCGCTCTCGGAAAATTGTTCGCTTCTCGGAACAGATAATGTCCGCGGAATTTTCGCGCCAAATGGAGGCTATTGTTTATGAAAACCATGAGAGCTAAGCCAATGAAAATTCTTGAATTGCATTATCTAATTATCCGAAAAATTATTCAGTTTATTTTATCTCTCCAGCTGGGGTGTGAACAGAACGTGGGCTGGGCCATGGCCTACCCTGTGGCCTACCGGTGGTCAGATTTTTAAAAACATAAACAAAACATCAGTGAGAGTCAAATGAGTAAAGTGGCATAAAATTATATCCCTCGTGGGTTTTTGTATCCCTCTAACAGGAGGATACTAAAACGTCACTAACTAACATCAACACTAACAGTCACTAACGCCGTTCATTACATGCTTACATTAGCACTCCATTATATGTTACAAACTGGCAGCCGGTATGGATCTTGGAGCCGCCATTTTGGGTATTCTCAGCAACCACGTACCTCTCAGGATGTTAAGACTCAAATGGATTGGTCCACAGCGGGACATGACAGGAGATAATGGTTATGTCTTATGTAAGAATTGGTACCTCTTAGGGGGAAAACAAAATTTCAAACCACGCCCGCAAAACAGGATCTTGGTACCTCTTAGGGATTCTTTCCAAAATTTCCGACGAACGCCCCCGTCTTTTTTCTATGGGAGTGCCTCCGGTCCCGGGCCCTTCCCCTCCATCTTAACCTGCCGTTATGGTTGATTGCTTGGCTGGGGAAGCTACAATGTAGATGTCGAAGACATAGGGTAGGCCACAGGGAAGGGGATCTTTCACGCATTCGCTAGGTCAGCGGTTTTTCAAAAAGAAAGCAACAACAAAACTGGCGCTAGCGAGGCGCTAGCCGTTTGCGCCAACCTAGAGGTGATTTTACCTGCACTAATCCCAGGGAAGAGCAGCTCAAGAAATGGATGAGTTCTTGACACGATGTAGGGAAGAAAAAAATGTCGGACTCGTGCAGAATGTAGGTATCTACTCTTTTTGACGCAAATACCAATCACTGTTGTTAGATCATGTCCTTTATAGTGTCAGAAGAGTGCGGACTCTACGTTTTGCTGTGCTTGATATTTAGCGAGAGTGTTTTACAGCGGGGTAGGACATAAAATCATACATCTCATCGGAGTAGGGGCATAACATGTATTTCTCATCAACAAAGATTAGGGCATCAATCGTTAGTGCTGGAGCATTTGCATGTAAGCTTAGTCCATCAGTCACCCCCTTCTCACCGGGTCAACCCCCGTGCACAAGCATTATTTTTTTCAAAACCATAGCAAACTCCCCGGGGAGAGGGTGAGCTTTCAAATTGTCAGATCCTTCAATATTTCTTGAATTATGTTTGTCTTATTTTATTTATTTTTTTTCTTCCTTGTGATGCTTTATTTCACTCCAGTTTGCTATGTTAAGGGTTGGGAGTTTGGTGTTGGGTAACGGTAAGTGTAAGTTTTAAGGGTTAGAATCAGGATAAGGGTTAGGTTATACAATATCACCCATCAATCACTATTTAAGAAATAGAAAACATGCACCATGTTTCTATCGAGTTATAGAGATAAGAGTGGAAGTTTGGGAGAACGAGAAATGCTTTGGGAACATGAGCCGCAGGCGAATGTTTCCACAGCTTTTTCGAGTTCTCCCAAACTTTCACGAGATTTTCCATAACTTGATAGAAACACGGAGAACATGTTTTCTTTTTCTTTTAGAAAACACTGGGACGAAAAATAGGAAAACAACTTGTTAACTTTGATTATGAAAATGTAAATTCTCTTTGCCCGTGCCATCATTATGTCAACAGCTCGGGCTAGTTCTGTGTTTCTATCGAGTTATAGAAACACGATTTTTAACCAATCAGCGTGCTTATTTTCTTAGGACTGTTTTCTAAAAGTGCATAATAAATCATTATGTCACATATACTAAAAAATGATCCATTGACTTGGGAGGTAAAAGTTGACCCCACTGATCTTATTCTGTGGTAAAATCATAAACTTGAAGAGTTCTTCTTAAGAATTAAGTACAGTCATAGAATCCAAAGAATGCCAGAAAATTTGAGACTTGATAACCACAATAAGTAGATTAGTATACTTTGGTTAAAATCTTTGTTAATAGAATAGTAGTAGAGATTATAGTCTGATTACTTTTCCTACTTCAATTATTTACACAGCATCTTTGTAAAGCAGGCTAAGTTATTGTATTACTGGTACATGTAGTTAAATAGGTTGTTATTGTTATAAAGTTAACCTGAATGGAAATAGAAATACTATGTCAAAATAAAATTTTACTTCCATAACTAGTATATATCCATTCTTTATTTCCTTGTGATATTTATTCAACATAATTGATATTTTTCAGGAAAAGGAGTGGCTAAGAATTTTTTATTATGATGTAGAAAAATGTATCCGGCAAAATGAAAGTGACGCTGAGTTGGCAGAGGTTTGCCTTGCTATATTACATCAGATCAAAGAGACTCGAAGCAGGGATGATAAAATGGCGTCATCCCTTTGGCTTCCTTTTGATCATCAAGTTATGCCACTTAGTACATTATTCACTACAAGCAAGGATGTGTTTGGAGGTTCCCTTACTTCATCACAGGAAGAGCAAATCCAGGTTTTAGGTGAGGAATAGTGTTGTAACTTACATGCGAAGACCAAAGCCTATGGCGATCACTAAAATGAGAAGATTGGTGATATATATGTGCAAGTGTGCATTTGTTCCTAACTGGTATTCTATTTCTTACATACTCTAATAGGTTATACCATATAAAATACAGGTTGAAGATCACCAAAAACCAGACTTTCTTTTATATATGTGAGCCAAAAGACAACAGTCAGACTCATATTTCCAAAAACAGGCACTATTCTCTGCTTATCAAGACATCATTCTTCATGGAACCATACATGAAATAGTCTTAGAAATAATCTAAACCTACATTATGTAACCTGTAAACTACAGTCATTAGTGGTAAATGATAACTGTTCTTTAATTTTTAGGATACAGTCCTACTTGCAAGATGCCTTTTATTCTCTTAGGATATTTAACACTCCATCCCAAGTCAGTAAAACCAATCACAGCTACAGGGACCCTGTACATCGAGGACAACTCTGCAGCAGTTGTTTGTGAGGTAAAGAACCACCTCAGTCTATATTTCCCAAATTTTAAAGTCAAGGGCATGAGATTTGTAACCTGGGGTAGAAGATCTTTGAAGAGAATACTACCATATTCAAACGTGGCACAGCTCAAATGTTTTCAGAGATCAAAGTTTTAATTCTTGTTCATATGCAATTGGTCTAAACGTGTCATGTGACTGAATATACCCCAGCTAAAACTGGGGAGTATCTAAATGATATTCCCTAGTTTTCAAAACTCTGCATATTAAACAAAGTATTTCAAGAATAGAACACAAAAAATCGGATATTTGTCCCAGACATTTATAATCTGTTCCTCAAAGCTCACAGTTACCGGTTCGCTTCTTGGAACAAACAATATCCGTGAACAAATATCGGAGCATATTTTCCCGCCAAATGGACACTATTGTTCATTTATGGTACTGTTATTTGCTTGCTTTCAGATTATAAATCCTGACAGACATTGCCTAGAGAAGCTAGTATTAGTTCCTGAGTGGAGTTATGTTCCTGTGTCTTCTTCAACTGCCAAACCTACAAAAAATGGTAAGGTAAAGGTATAAAGGTGACCAAAGGTAACCTGGAGGTAATGATAATTGTCCGCAGTTTATTATGTTTCAAGTTGATCCATGGACAACCTTGACATTCAAAGCCAAGTCTTTAGGTTTTGATACTCCACTGTATATGTAACTGTTAAAAATGTTAAACTGTTCTCATCCCAGTCCTAAACAAGGATTGGTCCACCTTAGTATTGCTTTTATTAACAAGACAAAAAGGAGTTCCACTTTAGTTTGTACAAAACAACTCAAGTGTGGAGAGTTGTGCTAACATGTTGTAACAGTTAAATATCGAGTGTTCTGAATTTCTATCCAACGTCTGTATGCAATATCAACCCTGCCCTGTGAGCATCTAGTTACTTTGATTGTTAATCAGGGCTTATAACTAACATCACAAGTGACTGCAGTAAGTAGGTTGACTGCGGCAGATACTGTACCTATTGTATGGAAATAAAGTCTCATTGATTGACAGTACATTCAAGTCTTTTTTAATTAATGTATATGTGTAGCATAATAATCTTATTTTGATAAATGAATTATTAACCATAATATAATTCCACAGAACTTGCTATTATTATGCATGCATTGTATATTGTATAATGTGCCAATTATAATAAGCTCTTGTTGTTAGATTCAAAGGATGGCCATAATGGTTATATTGAGATCAAGACATGGGTACCAATTCTCGTTACAAAAAGAAGTACAGATGACAAGAAACTGCTTTCATGGGACATCTTGACCATCAAAGAACTTCAGCAAGATAGAAGGTATTAGGAACAATCTTAATGATGTCTGTTCTTCTTCTCAATTTTTTGCCACATTAAAGATAAGTGTATATATGTCACAAACATGAGCATAATTGGGAAGAATTTGAATGTAAACCACACCTTAACAGACAACTGCAAAAAGTCAAGAGTTCATCTAGTTTCTACATACCCACTCACTTTGCAAGACAGCAATGTATAGCATACAGTCAACTCTCTCTTAAATAGTATATTGTAAAGGTAAAAAAATAAATTAAACATGCACTGATTTAAGATATATTTGATATTACTTAACATGCACTTTGTTTGTTTTGTAGCTCAACCGTCAACTTAAATATTAGGGGAAATATTTTTGCCCTGAGCCCAGTTCATAGGTAAGAACCAAGCTTTGTCTTTTCAAATGTCATGTAATGTCAATTGTTTTCAAATTGTAAACTCTGTTGATAAAGTATATAAACAGTGAAATACAGGAATAACATGAGGGAAGAGTTAAATGAGCACCAAGAAGGAGGAGATGTGAGAGGAAGAGATAGCAGTCCTTATCTCATCTCGACTCTCATCTCGACTCCCATCTCCTCGGGGCAACCTGCACTGTTTACAATGTTCTTTGTAACTGACCAAACAAACAAGAAAGAATAGAAGCAATGTTCCTAGTCCTAAGGAGAAAAGAGGTTCAGATCAACAAGAACAAATCAAAATAGTGGTTTTAAAAGTAACTTGCAGATGAACCCCTCCCTTGTACATGTCCTGTTCCAACTCATGCCTACTTCACTCCAGACCTGCCTTGCATGCTTGGAGACACATGAAGGTTGTCTGCCTACCCTTTCCCTCATTATTTTATCTGGGTCCTTCTTTTTATGTTATTTTAGTATTTATTGTCATTATTTTTATTTTGTGCCAGACGTTGTTATGTTGTTGTTATTTATCTGTTCCTTTATTACATAACAGCATGCCCAGTGTTGGAAAGCCTTTCTTTTTAGTCAAACTATCTTGTCCAGTGACAAATCTTACCACCTCAATTGTGGTTCAGGTAGGATTCAATAACCCACATCAGCTGTCAAAATGTTTTTTCATTATGTAAAACGATGATTATATAACTTATAAATCTATGTTCACTTCTCAGTGTTATTTTCATCAACATGATGAAGTGTAGGATATCAGTCTGTACATGTCCACATTTGTACCTTCAGAAACTGTTTTTAGCCAAAAATTAAGATAAGAAAAAATAAGCAAGCATGTTCAATAACATTATTATTTTTTAAACAGAGAAAAAGCAGTCCAGATACATACGTACATACACATATCCGATAAAGTTGTGAAGAAAACTGGTCCACTCATTCAGCCATAAAGAACTGGTCTATGTCAGATAATCTGGAACAAGTACAAAGCAGAAAATTTCAATTGTTAAAAACCAAGTTTCTTGTGCACACGTTTATGTCTTTAACAACAGTGACAAAGAGGAGGAAAACAAAGCAAACTATCATCACCATGTAAACCTACATGTTAAAACAGACTGTAGTCTTGAAGTTGCAAGCAAGTTATTCGTAACTAAATGCGTATGTTTAGATAAAAGTCTTATTCTCCGAATGTGTTTAGTAGACAATAAGATGTTAAGAAAAGTAGCTCTTAGGCTGTGAAAACAGTTGCTCTTTGGCTGTTAATTTCACTGCTGAACAACAACATTAACCAAGAGGTCCATCTGCATCCACAGCCTAATATCATTTCAGAGTTCAGCTTCAAGGAACAAACAGACAGAAATGTATAACATTACAGTTTTTCTCCTAGGGAGAGCAGTTTATGTTCTGGCATAATTTCCTGCAAATTGGTGAACAATACATATTTTATGACCTGAAAGAAGCAACAATGAACAAGGTAATAATTGTGTTGTGTAATAGTACATTAACAACACTGATTAGAGAAAAATTAAGCAATAATCACTATCATCAATGTCAACATAATTAAAAGCCAAATCAAATGAAAATGAGAATGAATAATAGCACAAATAAGGACTTTTCATTATGAGTCTTCTCCCTCCATTAAATTTGGAAAGTTTCTTACATCATTTATTTCTTAATTGTTAAATTTAGTTTATGTACAGATTTAGCATATTTTAATGTTGTAATGCACTTTTGATCATTGAATGTTTAAAAGTGCAATATAAATTAATAAATTATTATTATTATTTAATTAAGGGAACAAGAAATGAACGAAAGGTTCTAGCTACCTCACCTCGCTCAGATCTCTGTGAATACAAGTCTGGTATGCCCACTTCCAAAGCATCAAAAACTGTGAAACGGCCTTGTGAAGATGCACCTGAGGTGAAGTTTTGTTCAATAATCTTAACCCTTATATGTGTACTTAAAAATGCAAATTTGACACAATTTTCAAAGTGTTCAGTTGCAAGAGATTACTCAAGTTTGTTGTTTGTCTTTCTTCTTCCCTGTCAGCTTTTTATCTGCATTTGTTTCACTTTTGACCAGTTCTGCCAATCATAGTCAGTTGATTGCAGTTGTATCTAGTACAAACTACACTTAATACACTTTTCAGGTAGAATCTAAGCGCCCAAGAACTGCTCAGGGACGAGATGATCTGAACCACAGAAAGATTAATTACAACATGAATTTGACATCAGATAGCATGGTGGTTGAGAAAGAAATCTTGCAAGCTCCAAAACTAAGGCCACTGGTTAATATATCTTACACTGTAAGTATCTTCAGAATACGGTACCTTGAGTAGACAAACTTTTCTTTGTTCCTCCGCACGACAAGGGTGTGAGACTGGACCCCAGAAATTCCAAACTGATGACGAAGCTCTATAGAGGTCCGTGTGGAAATCAGCGCCTGTGACGTCATCTAGCTGCAGGAGGCGCGGTGGCCTCATGGTTAGTGCGCTTGTCTCCAGATCGAGCGGTCCGGGTTCGAACCCTGGCCGGGGACATTGCGTTGTGTTCTTGGGCAAGACACTTTACTC